GGAGCCTGTCAAAGATACAGTAGAAGGTCTCTTTACAACGCGGATCTCTCGACAACTTGGCCAAGATGTTTTGGATTTAAATTTTCAAAAATTACGAGTTATTGGAACTCAGCCTGTGCTTCGTCCCACCATGTCAGAACTTGATTGGATGAATGCCCCAATGTTCAAGAACGTCAGAACAATTGTCATAAATAAGAATTATTTGAAAGATGCTTTGAAATTGAGCGGAGTGGATGTCTTGAAGAAGCTCACTAATCTCAAACACTGCAGACATTATTCGGGTTCCCCAAGTGGGCAGGGAAAAATGATTGGGAGTATGATTTGTCATAAAATGGTCTATCACTCCACACCTGAGCCATAACACCCACACTACATATGTGTAGCAGGCTCAGTGAATATGTGGTTATCATGTACATACAGTTCTGCTCAGTTATCTGCTCATCAGGACAAGTTATTCATATGTAATACATGCTGTAACTTCTTTCAGATTGAAAAAAGCTTCCAAAAGATTGACTACATACACTGACTCAATGTTTTGGTGTGATCTCATCAACTCAACTGCATGTAACACACTTTCTGTTACTAAGACATAGCTTCAACAATATTGCCTGAGCAGCTACAGAATTATATGTAGTGAATTTTTGGGAAAAAAAATTCAAAGTCGAAAAAGTTACATGTGGTATAACATGTGATTTATTTATTCTGATGGGCAAAAAACTGAGCAGACCTGTATGTACATGATAGACAACTATTGACTTAGCTTGCTGCACATATGTAGTGTGGGTGAAATGGCCCAGGTGTGCAGTATTAGATTCTTTTATGAAAAACTGTACTATTAATCATTTTCCTCTGCCAAATTGGGGAAGTTGAATGATGTTTACAGTGCAAACACATGTTCTTCATCAAACATCCCTTTTTTTCCAACGAGATTCCATCACACTTCATGAAAGTGGTATGACCTCCTTTGGTGGTGGGGAATGTCAGCCCCGAGCCCTATTACTAGTACCAAAGGGCTGCCCAAATAACTATAAAATAACAAAAATAATAATTACAACTCATGGCTCAGTTTCAAGAGCCAAGTACATATGTAATTACATATAGTTACATATGAAATTACATATGTACATACATGTAGATGTAACCTTTTGGTTATATTATGTAAGATTGCCTTTCACAAGTGCGTATCACAGGAGTAACACAAGAGTTACACCCGTGCGTAATCAGATAATAATTAAATAATTAAAATTCATGATTACATACGTCAAATGAGTATGTAATCAAACCACAAGTTGTACATAAGGATTCTCAGGGTTTTGAGTATATAAAGAGCTCTCTGACCCGCCAGGAAAATCCATCATCATCATTACATATCATCAAATTATCAGTAAACATCATCAATCAGATAAATAAGAGTCCTTGTCCTCTTTTCATTAGACATTGTATATTTCTCTAATTGATCATTGCTTTTGTTATTTGTAGAAGTTCTTTTGAAGACTTCTTTCAGGAGGTGATCCTTGCAGTACTGCTCAAGTTATTAAGGGAATTCAATAACTTGAGAAACTCTAAATTCACGGGAGTTCCTCTGTGTTCAGAGTTTAAAGAACTTTAAATATCACTAGGTGATATTTCCCTTGTGTAATAAACTCTAGAGTAGAGTGTTATTAGCTTGGGCACGAAACTAGACTGTAGTTTCTACTCTTATTCCTGCTAGAAGACTCCTGTCTTGCATTAATTCCCGGATTGATATCCAAAACCCTCAGGTGTGCAGTATTAGATTCTTTTATGAAAAACTGTACTATTAATCATTTTCCTCTGCCAAATTGGGGAAGTTGAATGATGTTTACAGTGCAAACACATGTTCTTCATCAATAAACTTAGTTTATTATTCCACCCTTTTTCTTTAGTGGTTTACTAGCCTAAAAGACGCTCGGAATTCAAGGTCATGTCTTCGGAAGCATGACAATAGATGAAATTTTGGTTAGTATCTTTTTGTTTGATCACACCAAAACTTTGATAGGGAGTGTGTTGAAAAACTTTGTACTGATTATTTTACTTGTTGATTAGAAATTAGATCTTGAACTCAATGAACCAATGCAAACAAGTCATTAGATTCACTTGTGGATGCCCCTTCAATTTGAAATTTTCTTTTGTTAGTAATATTACTAACAAAAGCCTTTTGTCATCTCCCTTGCCAACTTTTGTTTTTCAAAAGATGTAAGTATATTCCACCAGAGCCCTGAACCAGTGTTAGAAACAAACGAAAGATGTATTTGATCCTGCCCCAAAGTAAATAATTGTTTCTTTTGTTATGGATTCAACAAGAGAGAAAGAGGGAAAAAATGAACTGAGGTGCCCAAAAATTACTGTAGGCCTTCCCTTTACACAACCGTTTTTTTGTTGTACAGAAACCAAACCTTCTCAAAACTGCGGTTATTAACTGATCGAATCAATGTGAGAGCCAATTCTTGGTACAATTTTCTTAGGCCCTGAAATCTAGGCCTCGAGGCCGCGCAGGGCCAGGCTCAATTTTGGGGGGATAAAACGCTCAGAAAGGGGATAACCATTGGGTGTATTGCATCTTCAAGGACATCAATAAAACCTTACTTTGAAGGTAGAAACATATTTGAGAGACCAAGACCTACTTAGAAGAGAGAAAAACAACCTTTACTTGAAATTCTCATGTATATATCCAAAGTTTAAATGTCTATTTAGAAAAGGAAAACTTAAAAAAATTCTCACTTCAATCCAAATTAACATGTATTCATTCAAACTTGTTTCTAGTGAAAAATGAAAATAGATTTCTTGAAAATCAATCAATAAACACCTATTTTTTCATGATCACCTTATTCCAGCTCTTGAGGCAGACTTGAGCTTCAAGATTGTGAGGAGTGAACAAGGCTTGGTGGTCACTCATGACTCTCAAAGCATTAGAGCATGTGCTCTCAGAAGGGGAACTTGTTGCAGGTACTGCAAGAATTGCTCTGGCCATGCAAGCAAGATTAGGCCAGTGATGTGCGTTTATTGACCAATAGGCAAGAGGTTTACAGATCTTGTCTTCTTGAGGGGCAGTGAGGTATTCATTCACCTTGTGTTCAATCCAGACAGTTTTGTGTAGGGCATATGGGCCTTACACTGGGGCTATTCCAACATCAGCAAAGATAGTGGTGCCTGGCTTTCTTCATTTGAATTGGGAGGTGATCATACCAAGTATTTGGCATTCCAAGACTTCAATTCTATTGATGAGATCAATGCAAATAGTGCATAAGGCAAATCTTGTTTTTTTCCTTAGGTGTGTTCTTTTCTAGTTCATGATGGTTGCAAAGTCAAGTCCTGATTTGTATCTATATTATCACAGTCATGAAGTGATGGACTCATTAGTTGACATGGATATGACCTCCACATGGGGCTACAAACAAGTTCTTGAGACGGTTTTGGTGCTGTTATTTCAAAGCTTTGGATATTGAAGAAAAGTCTAGCAAAAACCCGTGGAATTTGAGCCGGGTTCCCTCCGTGATTCTTGGGTACCCCCTAAACCAATTTTCAACAAAATCATGGTAAATTTGTGGTGTAGTGCTGACATGTATTGGGAAGGGCTGTGAAAACAAAATCAGTTTGTTTTCATCTTGGAGAGATTCTGAGATGTTCTGAGTATGACTCATGATCAGATCCTGAATAATCATCTCAGAGACTCTGACTGAGCCCAAAGAATTCTCATGCAAGATGAAAATGAGCATTCTCCAGCAAAGCCAAGCAAAATCTGATCAAAAACAGTCTGATTGTTTGAACACTACCAAACTCATGAATCAAATGAATCTGAAAGAAAATGAATCTTTTGAGACTTCTGGAAAGTCTACAAGGCTCACGTAGTTCTGAGCATCAAGTTTGGAACCTGTGACTGGTACAGCCTAAAACATCCAATCATCATTTGGTGCAAGTTCATCAAGACTGAAAACGGCTGTAGAATGTGTGCCTCAAGTAAAGCTTTGTTTTACAAAAATCTAAAAATCATAAGTAACATTTTGATATAGGAGAAACTGTAAATGATGCATTTTGTAAGTTGATCCTCTTTGTTTAATTGGGTAGATGGCTAGTTCCAAGTATGAATTGATGGCTTTACATCTTTTAATCCAACTTCTTTATGATAACTCCATGAAACATTACATTTAATTCTTTTGCGTGATGATGAGCTATAGTGTTTATTTTCTTGTTTTTCTTTCATGAATAAAGAAACATAGAGCAATTATTTCTTAATTACAATTTATCTTGGTAACCTTGATGTATGTACTTATGATGAAGCTCACAATTCTCTTTTGGGTTGTGTTAGATATATGTCCACTTTGGAATGAGTAAACAAATAAATTTGAATTACAATATCTCATGATTTGATTACCAAGATTGAATTTGTTTTCATGCCAAACTGGTAGTGTGTTGTACATTTTTGCTTTTGATGATCTTATTCATAGTCTTTTTCCAAGCATTTTGACCTACTGTGAATCCTCATTCATCAGCATTGGTCCCATCATTGACTTGATTGCAGAAATTCACAAGCATGAGATTAACAAGCCTGATGGATCTCCAGCCAAGAGTAACCTTTTGATTACTAGCCATGAAGGGAATTGTTGTGGTATGAACTCCAACACAGGAACATGTGATTTGTGAATAGAGTTGCCATTTTTTGTAAATCTGGGTTGAATTTGTCCCTTGATGGTTTTGTGAATTGAAGACCATTGAAACAGCATGGAACTTGAAGGGAAATCAGAAATGGGATATCACTTCGGATGGTAGATTTGATTTGATTTGATGTGATAGGTTGATTTTCCTTTTATGGGATCTTGTTGTATGGTTTTGATAATCTGTGATACTTGGACTGCGCCGCACTGTCTACAGTCTGCTACAGATGATATATAATCCATCTCGCCTTTGAAATCGACTTGAACTGTTTCTTTGTCTTGATTTGATTTGATTGTTCAAGTTCTTGTTCTGCTCAGTTTGACTATCATCATCATCAAGTCTTAATCATTCAACTACTCTCACAACCCATCTCAGATATCAAACATCGAACATTCTCAGCTTACCGATCATAACTCACTTTCTCATCTAAAACCGGTTAGCGAATCCAACTCAGCAATCAGTCGGCTCCAGACCTTTATCAAACCCGGACCTTATACACAGATGTCATCCAATAACAAACGATTCCATCAAGCTCCTCATCTTCTTCCTCGTTCTTCAAAGGTTAAACCTACTAAACGACATGGTGAACCTGCTACAGACACTTGGTCTCGATTAGCTAAAGCAATCACTGAAATCTTAAACCATAATGCATCCAAACTTTCTTTTGAAGAACAGTTTAGTAGATTTCCGTTCTTTTTCCTGGTTTCTTACCCAAAATACCTTCAGATTCACTCAAGTCTCTCGATCCATATGTGTATGAAACTTTTATTGATACTCTTGGTTTGCTTTTGTACAGTTATCGGTATGCCTATAATATGGTACTCTATAAGCAAGGTACCAAGCTCTTCAATGGGGTCAGAGATCTAGTGGCCCACCATCTAGATGACCAAGCCAACCAAAAAATCAAGCCGAACTTCCCAGTCTTCACTGCCTCAACCACCACCACCACCACTACCACTACCAGCACCACCACAGTCAACCCAACAAAAGAAGTCCCAATCTCACCACCAGCTACAATCTCTAGTAGTAATAACAAGGGTAAAGCCAAAGCCGTGGAAAAAACCTTGGAAAAATTAGAAGCCAATGCTCCTCATATTCCTTTACTTACTCAGACTCATCAGATTGCTTTGATTAGTGGAAACGCTACTGATCGATTAACTCTCATTCAGTCTCAAGAAAGGTTTTTGAAATCGGTTAGAGAGGTTTGGGATGATCATGTGGCTTGTATGAAAAAATTGAGAGATGTATTGAAGTATATGGTAAGTTTGAATCTACAATTGTGGATATATCCCAAATCTTGAAAACTGACTGGTTTCCTATTTAATCGACCTACCATGATTTGGTCATATAGGACAAAGTTTATACTGCAGCACCAGGAAATAACTTTGATTGGATGCCACCAGTATGGGACTTGGGTCTTTACATCTTCCTAACCCATGTAATCCGATCCCCACACCATCCCATCTCATCCCACCTAATCAATGCCATCATCACACTCATCACATCCGAAAGATTAGGAGACACGATCAATAGTTCAGTAGTTAGATCAGCTACTGAAATGTTAACCGATTTAACAAACCATAGTGTTGAGATTATCAAAAGAGTAGATGATAAAACGGGTGGAAATGGCGGTGGTCCGGCGGGTGAAAGTATTTATTTGACGGACTTTGAACCGCTTTTTTTGGCCGAGAGTCGTGAGTTTTATAAGAATGAAGGAAACCAACTTTTAAGTTCTTGTAATGCATCTGAATATCTTAAAAAGGTTTGTTTCTTCTTTCTGTTTCCCATTTATATGTATCTTGATGATAAGTTTCTTGGTACCCAGACTGATTTCGTCTTTCTCATCTTGTCGCTACCACATTTTGATTGCCACCTCTATGGTTTAGGTTGAAAAACGTTTGGCAGAAGAAGAAATCCGATCACAAGCTTACCTTCATTTACCAACTGAACAATGCCTAGCATTTATTTTAGATGAAGAACTAATCAAAAAACACATCAATGGAATCCTACATCATGCATCAGGAGGTTTAAACCTAATGATCGAACATGATGCCAAAGACGACTTAAAACGACTCTACACTCTCTTACTTAGGATCCCTGAGCAAGGTTTGAACAGTTTAAAAGAAGGAGTTAAAGATTGGATTAAAGAACGAGGGAATCGGATCAATGAAGGTTTTAATGGTGAAGCCATTACTCGTGATGAACCTCAAGCGGGTAATAATTCAACCGCTTTACAATGGGTTTCGGATGTCATTGCTTTGAGAGATAAGTTTTTGGTGATCCTTTCCGAAAGTTTTTCGGCTAATAAGCTTTTACAAAGTTGTATTGATGAGGCTTTTAGCTCTTTTATCAATGCTAACAAACGATCTGCTGAGTTTATCAGTTTGTTTATTGATGATAAACTCAAGAAAGGATTAAAAGGAGTACGTATGTTTTGATATACGAATATTTCACTTTCACCAAGCCTAGACTGATGATGCTTTAATTTGGATTGATTGATGTTTAATAGAAAACAGATGAAGAAATCGAATCTGAATTAGATAAGACAATTGCACTTTATAGACATTTACATGAAAAAGATTTATTTGAGAAATATTATAAAGCACATCTTGCCAAAAGATTGTTATTTGGAAAATCAGTTTCAGAAGATACAGAAAGGAATATGTTAGGAAAATTAAAAGTCGAATCAGGTAGTGCTTTTACACGTGATTCTGAAGGGATGTTGAAAGATTTGAAAATGTCAAATGAGATGGGTAAGAGTTTTAAAGATTGGTGTAGTAAGAAACATCCCGTGAGTTTTGTTTTGAATCTTTCGTATCAGAGAGAGAGAGAGAGAGATTAACTGAAAGGCTATTTCTTCTTGATAGGCTGTTCCTTTGGATTTAGTAGTGACGGTAGGATCTTCATCTATGTGGCCAATGTCACAAGGAAACAATCAAATGAAAACACCATGTATCTTACCGAAATTGTTGGATGATTCGATTAAACTCTATGAAAGGTTTTATTCGACTAGACATAGTGGTAGAAGATTAACTTGGCATACTGAATTAGGTAGTTTGGAAATCAAAATCAAGTTTAATAAATCAACTCATGAACTTAGTTTATCTACTTTAGCTGGTGTGGTGGTCCTTTTGTTTGATGGAGTGGATGAATCGAGGAAATTTACTTATCCAGTAAGTAATCCAATGTTCTTTTTTTGATTGTTTTTCTCTCTCGACCATTTTGTTTTTTCAAACCAAACACTTTTTAATGAATTTTGAATTGTTGACTGATTCCAAAACTAATTTTTTTTACGTCTACTTCTTAGGAAATTCAAGAAGCAACAGGCATGTCAGATGGAGATTTAAAACGAACCTTACAATCCTTATCATGTGCGAAATATAAGATTTTATTAAAAGAACCTAAATCACGTGAGATTAATGAAAGATTAGATGAATTTAAATTGAATTTGAATTTTACAAATCCGATGACGAGAATCAAGATTCAAACGATTACCAACAAAGTTGAAAATAAAGTAGAACAAAAAGAAACTAATGATCGGGTTGAAGAAGATCGTAGGTTACATACTGAAGTAAGTTAATTTCACCCTCTCTCTCTTTCTCTGTCTCTTTTGGTGTATTTTTTTTCTGATGGTAGCTTTTGGGGTTGGATTGAAAAACACAATAGGCTTGTATTGTAAGAGTGATGAAAACAAGACAAAGATTAGGTTATACTGAATTAAATCATGAAGTGATCAATCAACTTGCTAAACGATTTAAACCTACTCCTACGGTCATCAAAACTTCGATTGAGAAATTAATCGAAAAGGAATACTTGGCTCGTGATAATCATGACCGAAAGATCTTGATTTACTTGGTATGTGGTCTTTTGACGGATTCTCTTTGAGAAACTAGGAATGCTTATATTGGTTTTTTTCGTCTTGGTCTATAGGCTTGAATGAGAATGATGGGTTTGTTTATTCTAGAAAGATATTGATCAGGAAAGGGTCTTTGGTTATATATATTGATCTGTTTCTTTATGTAATCAGATCAGTCTATTTTGAAGAAGTTCAAAAACCGTTTAGAGTAGAGACAATTTGATTATCGATTCTATCTATCTATCTATATATATATCATGAAGTTTTTGTTTCTTTGTTTCATTGATTTCATGTGGGTAAGAAGTGTAAGTTGGGAAGAATTGATGATGAGATGAATTTTTTTTTATATGAAAAGTCGAATTTGGAAACATTTTTTTTTTGCTTCTTTGTATGAATCTGATTTGGTAATTTGAAATTTCCTTTTTTTTACATTTTATGAGTCGTCTTAAAGGTTGGACTCTAGACAAAACTGCCTTATTGAAGCATTTGTAAGAATCATGGTGATGATCAAAGTTATTAAAGTGGGATGATGATTATATACTGAGAAGCGCGAGATTTTTTAAAAGTGAAGCTTGAGGATTCTTATTTTGATGAATAGTTAGAGAGAGAATTGCAAACCGCAAATGATTAAGTCGTGAGCTGATAAATGAAGTCTTGGAGGAATAGAGGACTACTGTGGGGGAACCAACTCAACGCCTCGTGTGGAGTCACGTTAAAAATAATCAGACAACTCTTTTGGTTTATCACGAGCAAATGGTGAAGATGCTCAGAAGCACTGATCAACTACAGTTCAAACCTCAACCTATTACACTGCCATTTGAAATCCAGACTTACATCTTGGAGTTTTTTCTCGAACTCTTGGCCGAAGAGTACGAGGACCAGGACGAGGACGAGGACGTTAGACCTTCTTATTTCTTCCAAACTACTTGGTTTACGATTGGTTTCCAAAGCATGGTCTCAAGCTATCATCAAGATTCGTTTTCGGTATTGTTTACTTGAAGAACGCGAATCGCGCACAAGTTATTCTTGACAACTGGTCTGATGATCTCTATAGCCCAGCACTCACATGCCCCGTTCAACACATTTTTCTCCTACATTTATGTTATTCAAACCCAGTGTAAAGCCAAATGCTAAACTCAACAATTCTACTTGTTGCTCAAACAGTTCTATCAAAGTTCAATGCCGGGCTCAATTTTCTATTTGTGCAACTCTTGATAGTGGTAAACTTGCATTTGAGTGGTACTGGCAGCATTAAAACCACAACCCCTACTCTATCAAAGACATGCGTAACATGCACCTTCCATTGGTTTTTAAGGTGTGGCTCAACGCACAATCCATCAAAGGTTTGACCTGGAAATCTCCCCAACACCTGCTTTTGTGTCCTGATCATTTACCAGTGAGTTCATTCACCTTACTCTTCAGCATGATAATCCATCTAATTCATGCCTATATGTAGGCTATGACTTGCCCAATAGGTGATTGTCCCTGAGGCTCTTCAGATAGATTACCAGACTGTACAAAACACCATACGCAAGCACACTAAAGCTATCAAACACTGAGACTCCAATGTGCTTGCATTTATTGCACTTTGGCTTGAGATCCTTGACAAGTGTGGATGGCACATTCCCAAATCTCACTGGCTTCACAATTGGAGGTAGCCTTCTGTTTACAGTCCCTCTTTTTGAGGGTGGCAAGCATACAATCCTTATCAACGGCAGACCAACCCCCAAGAAACAACAGCGTTGCTGATCATTTAGTGACCCTTTCCTTCTGTCGATGACGTGATGTACATATCCTCTTTCTTATCTTCCACCCTTTGTGGATTTACTTTCTCAGCATTTCAATCTGTTTCTCGTCGTGATTTCATTCCCTTACAAAGTATATTTTTCTTCCATTTAGTGAACCAAAGTATGGTGATTGGTGAAGTCCGCTCGGTTCTCATTCGGTCAGCAAGATCTATTTACTTCCGACCGAGCTCCGTTGTTTTCGAATCATCATTTTTCCGCCATGTTAGAACATGCACTATGTGATGAGGTACTGATTTCACTTCTTCCGTACTTTCGTCATCCTCCGTCAATTCAAGTTTTGCTCTTTTCCATACAGTTTCATTTTCGTGTAAATTGCTACTCTCACCCTTTCATATCCCCTCTTTCCACCGTGCCATCGTCATGCAACTTAAAACTATAACTTACTTTTGGCACCACGGCCAATGCGAGGAGGTCCTCTCGGTCCTCGCTTTGACCGAAGACACCCCTCATCCCCCGAATCTGGGAGCAATGGCTCATATTCGCGTATTTGTGGGTGCGCGTCACAACGCGCATATACTGTCTACAACCGTGGCATTATAAGTCCATCCTGGTGCGTATTCCTGAGGAATTTCCCCTTGACAGTGCACGAAGTGAGGGTCAAATAATGGGATGCTCCACGGCATTCTATCGACTTGAGGCGTGAATATTATGTAGACACCACGAATATATTTTTATCCTCGTTTCAATCATGGAACCCCTCAAGATCAATTTAGGGATAAATACTTCGAAGTATGTGATTCTGTCGTTGTGTCGCAATGCTTGGGATTTGCAATGTCACTTATAAATGACAGGACTATGTAGCATTTGAGTGATTTGCCAGAGTGATTTGAATGACTTTGCAAGTTTGTTTGAAAGATTGGCGAGCATCGACTCGCGTAAATTTGAATGCAATTTGTATACTTTTGTTCGTGTGAAAAAATTAATCCTTCATAGACTCCTCATAAACTCATCAAATAATTGACTGTACTTTACCAATAAATTATCTGATGACGCAGGAAATTATCTTGTGTCATTTAATGGGAAATAGTGGGGTCAAGGGCAAGTGCGAGAGTGACACATTTACATTACATAAAGTGAAGTATGAGTGACAAAGACGCATAAAAGCATAGAGAAACAAGCTTGAATGACATCCACAGATGAAGTGGTTCTCAGAATCGAAAGAACTGGGTTTTGTTGAGGCTGCAAGGTGACAAGTCTGTGCCGCAGTCGTGACCCGATCTGAGATCATGTGACTAGAACACTACATAATTACATCCCACGCTGTTCTGCTTCTGCATTTAGCATCAACTCTTTCCTTATTGAATCTAATTTTAGATTTCTACATTCTCCAGTTACATAAAATAAAGTTAAGGCTGATTAAAGTTGATGTGAAGCTGTTTGTTTTGAAGTTCGCCAACTATTTTGGACATCCCCTAACTTTCTTAGGCGGTACAGGCCCATTGTTTTAAAAAAGCCGACCAAATAGTATGTATGTAGTGAAATTATTTATGTAATATAGAAAAAAATGTATTGTGGTGGGTGATGGTGTCTTGAGAAGGATTGCATTCATTCCATAGAGTACAAAAGGAAGTGAGGCTGAAGACTAAGTTCTCCGATAACGGCCGAGGAGTGATTTGAATTGATTTACTTTCTTATTAATCTTGATTTGATATCCACCAATGCCATAGAAGTTTGGGGTCAGCTTCTTTTCTTCTTTCAGCCAGAAAGGAACATACAATAAAGATGTGGATGGATATATGAAATATTATGTTAAGATATCATTTACGATTCGATCGGCTAAAATTCAGTTACATAATCGATTGATTACACCATTCCCCCATTCTATTTCCTCAACCCACCGGGACCCAGTTTCAACCGCCCTTCGATGTACTTCAACTTACATGAATCTCTTTTTTTTCATTTGTAGCTTGGTTCTACGTAAAACTACTTAATCTACACATGTCTGTGCTAAATTATTTTTTTTGATTAAAGCAGTGGGCCATTATTTTAATACGGCAAGTTTCGCAAGCAAAAAAAAACAAAAGAGTACCAGCAGATTATTCAAAGTTTTTGAGGGCTCATCTCATCAGGTCTCATCCCTCAATCGCTTCAACTGAAAAAAAAAATAACGACTATAAAAGCTTTTCGAACATCTCGCTTCAATCGAACTGATTCCGTTCTGTTGGTCAAGTAATCCATCGACAAGATTTGAATTTCTACATCAACTTCAAGCCTTTATAGCTTGTACCTCTTTCCAAACCAATCCCAACCGAAATCACAACCAACAACAACAACAAAAAGTCATTCTTGTTTACATTTATCCTTTCAAAAAGTTCATCCACTTTTTTTGAAACAACCTAAAATATCCAACTATGCCACATTTGCAAAATACTCTCGAATCAAAACAAATGACCACAAAGTTTCATCATCCATTAAAACAACCCATCAATCCATTATTCTCAGCCCATCATGAAGAACCACAACAACAAGCAATTGAAGTCAATCATCGAAGTACCACAAGTTTTTCAAAAAAACAATTAATATATCAATTCAAATCAACTGCACCATCTTCAGTGTCACCCACCCAATCCACTTCATCTCTATCACCTGTCCCATCACCCATGACAACGATTTCAAATGGATCTATCCTTTCTTCATCTTCTTGTCACAAAACAATTGATCATAAAGCTTCATCAGATCCGCCTACGAGTACATTTTCTAAACCGTCTTGGTCTAAGAAAAAGTTTAGCTTCACCACTACTACTCCATCACATTCTCAATCAGCTCCTAATTCGAAAAAATCTATTCAATCTCAACGAAAACAATTTCCTACACCTCATTCTTATTACCCTTGGTTTATTAAATTAGAAAATGATGAAAAACATCATCCATTTGATCCTGATCAAATTCCATATTGGTTATCATACGAACCAGAAGTAATGGATCAGTTAAGTTTCATCTCTTCTTTTAAAACTTCACAAACTGGCAAAAAAGGTTTGAAACAATAAACAAAACTGACATTTTGGAAATTAAACGTGTTGATTTAATCAGTTATACTTTAATGATGTATGCATCATCAAATGATCCATTTCGATTACCATTCACAGGTCCCACGAATTCAGAATTACCTAAAGTAATATTAGATTTAGGTTGTGGCCCTTATGGGACTTGGTCTCATGCAGTAATTCAAAAATATGGTGATCAAACTCAAACTGAATTAAAAGTCATCGGATTAGATATTTGTCCAGTTCAATCGGTTTATCAAAATGATGGGTTTCATCAATTACAATTTATTCAACATGATTTTTTGAATTATTTACTTCCTTTTCCTGATGATGTAAGTTCAAACCACTTCATTTTCCACGAAATAAGACAAGAATTTCCAATTTATTAATCAGAGTTTTTTTTGTTTTGGTTTTATTTTGTTAGACTTTTGATTATATTCATTCATCATTTATTGCAACAGGAGTACCGGAAGATAAATGGTCAAAATTATTAGAAGAACTTTTAAGAGTATTAAAACCAGGAAAGAAATTAGAAATCATTGAAACTAATTTAAATCCGAATTTAAAAACGTATGAAATTTTAGATACAAGATTTATTTCACCATTTCCATTATCGATCATACCTGCACAATTATCTATGTTAGATGGTGGTAGTTCAGTTGAAAGAAGAAGAATCGAATTTGAAGAAATCAATCCAACAAGCCAACCTGAAGTCAATCAAAACATCTTTATTTTAGAAAATCATGATAAGGAACAAGACGAAAAGAAGATCAAGAAAAGTAAGAAATCATTGGATTTAAATCATCAAATGAATTCTAATTGGAATTTATTAAATCATACACATCATTTATCATTAAAGGTATCACAAGCCAGAGGAGCAAAGAAACCATCTAATCTATCAAAACCTACACCTGCTTCTACTTTTACAGACACGACTTCAGGAATGATATCTAAACTGTTGATCGAAAGGTTCGGTTGGAACCCAGAGATGGATCAACGTTCCTTTCAAAGTCTCAAAAAACAATACCAACATTACTCATCATCATTAACATCGATCGAAATGAAAATCTCAAATTACAGAACGGTTTTAAAAACGTTTTATAACTCCAAAGATTTATCTATCATCACCACTCATTCAGCCACCGAGAGAATCGAACATATTAAAGAATTGATCGATAAACTTTTACTACAGAAATCGGAAACTAAAAAACTCTTTCAAACTGTTCGAAATGAACTTCATAATGTTAAGAATCGATTAGGTTGTGAAATCGATTTAGGTTATTGTTTAGGTGTGGGTGAAAAGAACGTTGTGACGGATGATGAGAAAGTGGTTAATGTTTCTAAATCGATCAGGATCGAGTTGAGTGACTTTTTTTTTGCTCAAACTTTCTTTTTTGGAATCTTTACTCATGATTTGATTACTTTTTCTAGATCTTTCTTGGTACTGAAGAATTGAATTCAAAACAAACTAATTGTAGTGTTCAGTTTTTTGATTAAACTTTTGAACAATCAGATCACTTTTGATGAATGAAATTCTTTTGTTGTTTTGAAATCCTGAAGAGAATGCTGAAAAGATTCAGAAATTCTGTTGCTGCTGTTGTTGTTGTTGTTGTGACACTAATCTTTCTTTCTTTTTTATCTTTTGCTTGAAACATTATTGATGATAATCTTTCACAATGTACATGTTTATTTGATTAGTTGATATGTTCATCTGTCTATTTATATAAGTGGTCTATATATGTGTGTTCTTTTTCTTTTGATTAATCTGTTCCTTCTTTATGATTTCCTTTTTTCTTTTCTTATTAAAAATTTGTTGTTGATATGAGTAAACAATCCTTTTTAAAAAATTAAATTAAAGTTTTTTAATGAAAATATTGTTTTTTTTTGTCCGATTACTTGCTATTTTCATCTGTGTATTTATTAAGTGGTCTATATATATATATGTTTTGTTTTTCTTTTTATTGATCTGTTCCTTCTTTATGATCCCTTTTCCTTATTGAAATTGTTGTTGTTATGAGTAAAGAAAATTTGGAAAAAATTAAATTGAAGTTTTTTAATGATCATATTGAGGAGTACTACTACAACCAAGTTTGATGTGTTTGTTATAAAACTTCTTTTAACATATCTGCAGACTCTGCCTTTCACCTACTTCACACAAACCACTCTCTTGCTCATTGCCTTGACTTCAATTCAAGTTCAATCCAAAACCCTTATGATGGATGTGTACTATATGTCACTTTTGAAAACTCGTGTAGCCTACTCAATAACACATTCAAATCCTGAACCAGTGACAATCTACAAGAAGTTCACATGTTAGAATCTGCTTTGAATAAGAGCCTCTTTAAGCAGTCTTTCAAGATGAGAACCAAGTAATTGAAACTTTGTATGTTTGGTCATGCAGGTTCTTCAACTTGCTGACACTGTTCTTAACCATAGCCTTGGCTCACAAACAGTGTAGATATTACAGGATTGAAATCCATATATGTTATAAGTGGTCCAAGAAGACAGAAGGAAATCTAAACTTTTTCTTCACATTCAATGTCTCTGATAGATAGGATGACTTTTTCATTACTGAATGGAACAGTAACTCATGAACAAATAGCTTAGCTGACATTGCCTACAGCTTCTTTGTAATTGTATTTCTCTCATGAAGAAACTGAATGACTAAGATTAATCTAGACATTTTGGTTTGAGATCTCTTGATTAAGTATGATGACAAAATAATTTGGATATATCTGGGTCTGACCAAAAAGTGTTATCAATTCATTGCAAAAACAAAAGACAACAAGCAACCCATGCACAAAGAATACAAAGCCTAAGGTTCAAAAGGGCTGTTTGTTGGAGCTTCAAGATAGAAATTATGCAGGATGTGATTTCACCTCATGCTTTACAAGTTAAGTGGCTTGAATGCAAACAAAAATCAAGTTTATCTTCTTGAGATCAATATCAAATCTCCTAAACAAAACACCCGTCGGTCCCAGAAAAAAGAAGATCTCCCTCGAATCGGGATCGAACCGATGACCCTGAGATGCGCGACTTAACCAATTACAGTCTCATGCTCTTCCAACTGAGCTATCGAGGGCTATGACGTAATCTGTATTTTAGCGACTCCGAACTGCACAGCAGCCGCAGCACAACTTATGCCTGTACATATGTCATCACCTTCATGCTGCTTTGGTTACCCTTGTCACTTCGAGGCAGAAGAGGTACAAAAAATCTCGACATCGTCGGCCTTCAATTCTACATAACACCACGAAACTAATTTGGGCCATACGACCAAGACACCTCAAGCCAAGAACCTCAATATCCTCATTTAATTAAATTATACTATACTGAATGCGCAATACAATTCTGGGGCAACTCATATGTAGGAAGTCTCTTGTTCTCAAATTTAAAAAAAACTTGGCGGAAATCTAGTATATTGTGTGAATTACATTGAATTGAAAAACAAAGTTTCTTTGTTTTTTTCAATCTTTTTGTTTTTTGTTTTTTTCAATTTCAATAATTTTTGAGTACTAGAAGAAAACAAAAACTACACTATTTGAAAAAGAAAGCAAGAGTTTTGATTTTTGATTTGGATATAAAGCAAATCTTTAACTTAGCTTTAAAGTAATAAAGATTGTAAGCGAGCTTCAGTTTCGATTAACTAGATTGACAAATCAATCTGAATCAGTTTCTGATCAATTTAGTTAAAGAGATCAAAACTTCAAGAACAAACCTCAATAGCTTGTTTAACTTCTAAATGTCTTCTTGCTGCTTCAAGCCAATCACGAGCCAAGACCTTAGGCCATCCTTTCAAAGCGTTTAATTCTCTTGTAGCTCCATCCAAATCTTTTCCATTCAATAAACTCTCTACCCTTCTCAAGACGCTCATCACATCATCACCTTCGATTTGATATCCACTTTGTTTGTTGATAATTAAAAAGTGACTGAGAAAGTATGAAGCAAAGTATGCTAGAAATCCTCCGTGATCAGGAAAGAAGGCAACAGATTGAACTCGTGGTGCAACAGATTCTTGGAACCAGATCGTTAAGTTTGGTAACGTCTCGACTCCATTCTCGATGGTCTGAGACGACAGAGTAGCAAGAGCAGTGGAAATGATGTCAGTGGAAGGTTCAGTGGCTGACATAAAAGTTTTGTTGACAGCCTTCAAAGCAAGGACTTCCTCGGTGAAGGGGCGTTTGAAGCTGTACTCGAAAACTCGTGAGATCGCTCGAATACCATTCCAAAGTTTATGAACTCTACGATTCTGATCAAGATATTCTTCGTTATCGAGTGTAGCTCGTCCAAGTTCTTTAATACAACTTTCTAATTCTACCAACTTGCTCAATCGACCTTCACGTTCTTGTTCAACCTGTGATTTGATCTGTCTAGTCCATTTCCTTTGTAATTCGAGTCCCTTTGAAATCACTTCTTGTTTCAGTCTCTCATTGATCAATTCCTGTTGAGTTTCTAATTCTTTTTCTAACTTGGCATTATAAAATTTCACCAGTTTCTGTCGCTCAGATTCAAAGGCATCCTTCCAATCATCTTCCTGTTTGTCAAGACGTTGATGTAAATCTCGTTCTGCATCCAGTAAGAGCTTGCTGTATTGTTTAGCTTGAGTGTCTAAAGAGCTTTCCAGGTGTTGACGCTCTTCAACTTTGATCTTTTCTAATCGATGACCAAGATTTTTCAACTCGACCTCAGCGCTTGCTAAGACTCTTGGGGCATCGTCTCCACTCTGGGTCTTGCCTCGGACAACAAGATCCGGATTGTCTCGCAAGAATCCGGCGAGATTATCAATGGTAGATGCCAACTGTCCAAGGGCGGGTTCTGAACCGGAGAAGCCTCGGATACTAGGTGCTAGAAGAGGCAAAGAGGGTGGAGGGGGAGCAGCGGTAGTCGATGGATCTCGTGGTCTAGGGGCAGATCCGATGTAGCCAGGTGGAGGTTCGTGTCCGATTGGAATAGATCCTGGGTAGATAGGAAGAGATCCGGTGGAAGAGGTTGTGGCTGATGCTGAAGTCGTTGGGGAAGACTCTGATGCAGCAGGTGCATTGGATTTCAGACTTTGCTTCACTTGATCAGCTTTGGCTTTAGCAGTCGATTCCAGTTTTTGAGAAGATTTATTGATTTGATGGGCACCTGCAGCAGCTAATTCTTGTCCTCGTTGTACGGCTGCTTCTGTCTTTGCTTTCATCTTCTCGATATTGGTTTCTGTTTTGGATTTCAACTTGGCCTCTTCATCACCATTGACAGATGTAGTAGATTGTGAAGGAGAAGTGTGAAGAGCCTGAGTTTCAGTGAGACCGAGGGTGTTTTTAGCACTTGAGATCACGCCTCCTGTGACTTCTACTGCCCGTTTCGAAACGTCACCAATCTTTTCTAGATTGTACTCTTCAAAATAATTGACGAGTTCCTCGCCAAGTGGTACGTTTTGAGTAAAGAAGTCATTGACCCATTCGTTTTGGAACGAAGCGTAGATGCCTGGTTTCAAAAGACATACAAAGATTTCGATATGTATCAACATCTTCATCATGAGATTACCTTGATGACTCATATATTCACACATCATAATGAGAATTTTCACCTACCAGCACCGTAAAAGACACCTCCGAAAACAGCAGTAGGTAAGACGAACTTCCGCACCAGACCTTTCCGCTTAGGAGGTGTAGGAGGGGTCAAATTAGTGGCGTAAAGCTTTGTTGGTCGATCGAAAGGAGAGATCGTCAGTCAGATATGCCATCAGCTTTACGAATGAGTTTTGAATACTAACTCTTCTTTGAGCCAAGTTCATCCTTGAGCTCATAGATGTTTGACGAATGGCATGGTTAAGAGGAACAATCGAGTTGGAAGACCTGATGGACATGTTGAGCGTATTGAACGATTTTCCTTGACGAAGCTGAACTCGAGTCAAAGATGACGGCCTCAAGCCCGTCATGAATATAATATACAATGAAGTATTGGTTGAGGATGGTTGAGGATGGCTATCAGGTTCCGAGCTTGGATGAAGTGGTAGTTGTGATCGGTCTGAAGTGCTAAATCGAATAACACTGCTGTGGTAAGTCGAGTCGAGACCTGATCGGTTGACTTCCCGCAGTACCCGACTTCACCCAGCACAAGATGCGTGCATAAGCTTAACTATGCGTGCATGTGTGCACCTGCAGGCCGAACAACACATTATCTCAATGACGCATGCTCTGAAGTTTCTTGTTTCAATGAGCTAGAGTAGCAACTGTGACACTGGTACATAGTCTGATTCAATTTGAAGCCCCTCAACACAAAATTATTGAAGTTTAAGCTCTTCAAAGGTAAAAATCCCTTCATGTATTGAAATTGTGGTTCTCTCAGTGACAGCAGTAAGATGCACTCTTCCTTCCTTGCTAACAAGCATAGTCCTAATTTCATAAGTGATGATCCATCAGACGTTTTCAGCCAAAACTTACACGAAGGAATGAATGAAAATTGAAAATTGACACACACAAACGTTATAAAGAAAAACATCACGAGGAAATGAAGTATTGTACATCGGAGCTTTAGATATCAAAAATTAGATACGAGGGAAGGTGTTGATGACTTCTGCATTCTCTCGATATTCCCAAAAAAACGAAAATCATATTGTTCTATCTCACTGGACCAACATGAGTGATGCGTTTTGAAATAAGTTTCAAAACTGATGCACCAGACAGTATCTTTTTCTCGCTGTGCCGTACATTTCATGATCATTATAAGTACTCTGGCAGAGAACGGAACTCTTATGCGAGAAAATTGGTGGAACACATGGGAAGTGAGATGGAGAAATAAAGAGAGGATAGTTGTCGAACAGACGCCGGCCAATCGCCAGCAATTTGTAAATCTCTTTGTGGTACATGTCAAGAAAACACGAGTCAGAGGAATATTGCTTTTTGTACCATGGTTTACGTCCAATGTACTTTCCTTCATATGCTTTTCTTGGTTTGGATTATTCACTTGTCACGTTTGTCTCGAGGATCGATTCGGGTTGGGCAGGCTATTTTGTCACCCAGTCATTTCAGCAGCTTTTGAAAGAAATCCATTGTCTACACTATGAAACCAAATGAGAATTTGATCTTCTCATGAACTTGGGACATTTAAAGTATATATAAGACTCTTGCAATAAGATCTAGATTTCAGAAAAGATCTTTATTTAGAAATAATGGTATGCGTCCAGATGATCTGGATATAGTAGGTGATCTATTTCGTAAAATCACGATTTTAAAAACAAAGTGACACAGAACTAAGTCTAGTTTGCTCACTTTACGAAGGTGAACTTGATTACTTGGAGAGCACTAGTAAAGATGACGAAGAAAAAATTACATCATTTCAAGATAGTAACAAAGAAAAGCTGAAATAAAAATTATGTAAGGAAAGGATAAAATGCAAAGCGAGGTTTTTTTTTTGATTTATTGATGAGGTAATCATTTTGGAAGAGATGATTGAAAGATTTCTTTGAGGTTCGAAAATAATTTAATGAAAATTCAAAGAATTAACAAACAAAAGTGTACATACTAGTAAATAACCAATTTGAAGAAGAAGAAAAAAAATAAAATTATGTAAATGCAAGTTTTTTCTCTTAGATTGTATAGTTTTGAAATAAAATTTAATCTCTCAATCAAAGCTTGGGTGAATAATTCTTCAATTCTGATATACAAGAGAATTGCATGTTTTCTTCAATCGAATCGAAAGTTATAATATGTTATCTTTTTGTGATTTTTCAAGAACTTCATCTACCATGACGTAAAAGCCATCAACTAGAATCTCAGTGATAAAACCAATACTACTCCCGGGTTCGTCAAGATCAGAGAAATCAAGTCAGTGCAGATCAAAGAAGGTGAGCGAAAAGAAAATATACTCACCAGCGCCGAGTAACCCATGTTGGCTTCTTCTCCTTCCACAACACAAACACTTTCAGGTGGTGAAGCTCCAAAATGAGTATTCGTCCTAAAAACTAGACTAGCTGCATTGCCATCGACCCCTTTCAGAGCAAGCCAAGGTACGTTTCGTTTCGGGTGGTTTGGTGCTGGCATCAATCCGATCTTGGCCACAATCACATAATTATCGGCAGGACCTGTGTTGGGCCATAAGTTCTTCCGAGGGTCGAAAAAGAAGGCGGGTGCGCCTGCACCACTTGCTCCGTGTGGGACAAAATAATGCGTCGCGATATGGGTGTAGCGAGACAAAAGTTTTCGGGATTGTTTCTTGGTAGCTGCTCTGGCGATTTCTTCGGGATCCTCCTCAGCGTCGGTGATGTCTCTCAGCTGGGCCACTGTGTATGGAACATGAACATCAGCGTTTTTATCCAAAAAGTCAACCTCCTCGTCAAAAATCTGGGGCATGGACGCCTATTGATTTGAATTGATCAACTCACTGGCGCCAACAGGTTTCCAGGTAGGAGTTCCAGAGGTGAGAGAGCAAGTGTAGTTCTGAGTTCCGATACCAACGGTCACGGCTCTTAAGGTGAGGTCTTCTGGGATGGTAAGGTTATAGGCGGAACTGTTTCTCGGAAAGTCCGGCCCTCGAGGTGTCAGCTGACCGCGGCCTCCTGAACCTTCAGAATTGCAATCCGAGCCAACGACGATAAGAGAGGATAACACCCCGTTTAGAATGAGCGATATAGCAATCAGGAAGAACAACATCTCGCCGCAACAGGAAACTTTCAGATCGGATGATAATGATCGAGATGTATAATATGGCTTCAGCTTGGGAACAGGAGCGAGCAAGCTTCGATGAGAAGAATTCGAGGAGATTTCTGATAATTTTCGTTGGAGGAGGTTGAAGGGCTGTGAGTTAGGATGTGACTATGTAGAGATCTTTCGAAGCCCCGTTTTAATAAAGCGGGAGAGGAGTGGACGTGAAGGATATGATGGGCAGACCTTGATCACTACGACGAACCGCGACACCAGCAAACTAGTTGCAATGAGACCGGCGTGCGAAGTTGTATAAACAGGCGCAGTCTTGATGAATAAGAACCAATACTTATTGGATGGTTCAAGTACATAGAAACGCCTTGAAAGACGTCGCTAGGGGATTTCTACCACTTGAGACTTCATTCCATGATAGTGTTGTTCTCTAATATCAAAATGTGTGCCTTTCAGGAAGACTGATAGCGACTTGGTGACTTGTAAGTTATATGCCCTTCCAACATAACGACGATTGTACATGATTGTTACTATATTCGTGCGGCCAAACAACTGGTCGCTGGAAACTTTAAGAAGTTACTACATATTTACCACTTGGATAAGTCTTGAGCTCTGCTGTTCGGACTTTTTTGGACCAGCACGTATGTCGGGAAGAGCGCGCGCGCGTTCAGCCTCCAGAGACATGTGTGAAATAAGCTTAACCAAGCCCCTCTTCCGAGGTGTCTTCCGGATCCGACGCGGCCACGTCTGCTCTCGAATCGGAAGAGAAGCTTTAGTCAAGCTTATGTGTGAAATATACCAGCCATGGAGCAATTAGTTGACGGTTCTATGAGATGTCGAAAGTGCGCCATGGACGAATGTGATAATTTAGCACCGGTGAATGGTGATTCAGAGGGGCTTCCGACTTCGAGAACGTACATATGATCTTTGCCCGGGGATCTTGGCATACTACATCACCACCCTGAACTCGAGAGCTCACTCCGTAATTCCCGTCAGCTACGTTGACTCCATCATCTCTCTTGCTATCAATTTGTTTACTTTGTGAAGTTCCATGTGTTTGCTGAGGGCGGTAGTCTGAGGCAAGATCTTAGATCGCGTCATGAGAGAAAGCCCTTTTTGTGGATCAGCGTTGTATGGAGATATGTTTGCAGCATACAGGCGATTCACTTTTGATGGAGAACTTTTCCCCATTCGCTGCGAGCGTTGGTGGTAACAAAGGGTGATATGCCTTTGCCCCTCTCATCATCATCCTTCAAAAAATCTGGCGACAACAAAAGGTAATCCGAAGCAAAAATCAGTAGCGGTTTCAACCGATATCGCTCGCGGTCCGGTAGGATAAATTAACAGTGAGGACAAAAGTTAGGATCACTTCAAAAGCATACTACCTTTGTCCTTCCAGGTAGCTTATAGCAATCTAAACATGAATTAGGAAAATGACTACATAAAACACATCCTTCAGGGTGCTTTTCACTTCCTCAAGCTGGCGATATACCCAGGCTCAAAGGGACAAAGAGATAAAAATACATCTGAGAAGATGATTATGGGAAAAAAAACATTTGGGGTGAGCTTTTTCTTTCAACCTCAAAACAATGACTTCAAGCTACCGAAAGGCCAACTGCCAAACTCCCCAAAAAATCTACATTCTCAGTTGATCATTCCTCCCTTTTACTTTCTTACATTGTCACTGGTTTAGTAATTCCTAGTTTTACAATCCAATTTGAACTCTTCAAGTCCTTCTCAACAACTGGAACACCTCACCTCGACATCGGATCCAGACAGCTTTGCGCTCATAAGAATAAGTTTCTGCTCATCGCACTCTTGGCCTTTTTCCAAAAACAACACATGATGTCACTGCCCTCCGATTCCAAATCTCTTCCATGCAATTCGGTTCCACTCGCACGAAAGTCCCAAGTGGCTCCTGAACCTCTAGAACAAGGACCATCCTCAACTGCGAGTTATAACCCTCCTCCTCCGCTCTACGCGCCCGGCTACGTTGGATCAACTCCAGGTTACCAGCATACAGCTATCGTACCTCATGACTGTACGCATGTGCATAGTCTCGTTAGGGAATGGCTTACCAGAAATCGGGCAAAGGAAGTTCACCGTTCAAGCGATGAAAGGCAATCGAATCGCCCCTCTTTGAAACGTAAAGCGATATCCAACGAAGACGAGAAAGCTCGAGTTCAAAAAGCCCACGTCGACCACAAGCAGGACCTCAAGAAGTCATCTTCCAAGGCCCTTTATCCTACTGAATCCAGTTTTGGTTCCTTATCGAACTCCAACTTACCCGGTCCTCGCAGCTTTTACGCTCACCGCTTGGCACACGCCGAAAATAAGATCCGTAGAAATATCAATCCCAATTCGGAAGCGCGGCAATGACGAATTTAAGAAAGCAATCACCATCTTCAATAGTTTCCCTTACATATCAAAAAGACAAAAAGTAACCACACATAGTTCCCGGATCGGGAGAGGGCTCCGGGCAAATCACTTACACCCACTTCCTTGTAGACTTCATTTGGCTTTGGCTTTGATCACTGTAAGGGCACGTTTTGACTCTTGTGGTCTCTTGAATTTGTATGGTGTTCTGGCGTCAAATGTTCAAGCAAATTTCTTCAAGTCAAATGGGTTGTTTGTTCCTCGCAGTTTTCCCTGTCTTCATTTATCGCATTATTATTTCAGCCATTTCTTTTCTTTTCGTTCACATCTTTTGACATTTATCACTGTCCTTTCGTTTTATTTTACTTGTCACTGTTCATAATTTTTTGTACATTTATCCTGAATTTCCATACCGAATTTTGATGGTTTTCTTGATTTTTTTGAAGAGGCCCTCTGTCTTTACCACACTCGTTTCGAAATTACACATGTTTCTGGCCAATCTAGAAGTTCCCACACGGCACGCGCGCACTTCTAATCTTTGGGATATGAATCAACGGGGCTTTTGACAGAATCACATCAGAAGGTTCGATATGATATCTTCAGGGTCCTGCCCGGCTGGTATATTAAAAGTACCTCTGTAGACATCCAAGCTTGTGCAGATCAGTGTCTTCGACAAACTTTATGATATTTAAAAAACTGTTCAAAAAGCAACCTCAACCTTCCAAGAAGATTTCTGTAATATTTCTTTACCAGAAATAGTAGAAGAGCCTGAAGTATTAGATACAAGAGGAGTTCAATTATTCTTCAACTTTTGTTTCAAGAAATCTGAATCATAAATCAAATCTTGGAATCATTTAATTGATCTCAAATTGAAATGATTGATTTAATTCATTTGATTCAAGTTTATGTATGTGAATGAGATAATTTTTTGGACTCCATTGATGGACTAACTAATCTAGATAGTAGATAAGTACATCTCAGCTTTGTACACTAGCTTACTATGCAATAGCTGTCTGAAATTTCTGATTTAAATTACTACATTTGATCCAGGAAAAATCATATGAATTGTTGGTTTTAGATTTGAGTTCAAATTGAATCCATATTATCAACTTACCATTGCATCAGCTTCTAGCTCTTATCTGTGTTACCAAGCTTTAATTTCTACGGATAAATCTTCAAGATATGCTTCTCTGAGGTCTTATCAGGACATGCTAGTTCAGTTAATCCTTCAATTTTAGCAATCAGTTTCCATTCTGTTTCATAGCTCAATCGACTTGTCAACGTTCAACTAGAGTGAGAAAGGTTAAATGTAACTCAAGGAGCGATATCAAATGAATCAGCTATGGTGGTAGTATCTTCATTTAGAGGAGGCCGCTCTTCTACCACTGCAGGAAGTGTAATAAATGTACCATACCGGACATCGTACTCGTGTTCGGGTTGGCCATTTGAATGTTGAGGTTATTGGAATAGAGATTGTTGAAAATGGCATTGTTTGTTGCCCAGGTCTTCGAGGATTTTTGCACCCTTGGGTTTTGATCAGGGTCCTTGATACGAGTTTGTCTACTCCAAGTGTGCGAGAGAGACGCAGCGTGGGACTTTCGGCCGGAGAGCTGACCAAGGTCTGAACCTGCTGTGATGCGGCTTTCATATCCTGACCGGTGGCTGTGTACCAACTTCAACTTCAGACTTGAAAACAGTTTGATAGGTCTTGATCTTCTGCTATAAAACTCTCGATCACATTTCATCTCTCCAAGTCTCAGGGAACCTTCTGCGTTTACGCTTATAGAATAATAGAACAGTCACATCCGTACTTTCTTTCTCAATTTGAAGTCCAATCACTACTGTTTTCTCCCTTCAACTTCAACATTGCACATCATACGAGCATGAGTACTCCTGACCACGATTCCAGCTCTGGCGTGATGCCTTCTTTCAACACGCAGTCTGCGGAGGGTCTACCATATACCAATCCCGAGTGGCTCTCCCAATCCCTTATAAGTCCCAGCGTGACCTCGGTGGCGGAGAACGCTGAAGCCAAGCATTCGATCAATCCTCCTCTCGATGAAAGCGACCCAGGACTGCGCGCTTGCCCGATGTCAGAATCGCATTTTGAACTTGACCAATCAGGATCTCGATATTCTCATGTCACTTCAATCCCCTCGTCTCTTGAGCCGCTCAGTGAGACGTTTGAAGTCTTCACATGGCGACCAACCTGGTTACCTGACAGAGAGTCGTGGTCGCCACGTCAATCGGTGGGTGGAACGTACGTGAGGAAGCCTGAGGTCGTGCGCGGAATAGGCGTCAGCCTCCGCCGAAGTGGCGGCTGTTACCGCCGGAAGTTACTCAGAGTCATACCGCCGCAAGAAGATCTGATTGCAGACTGTGATATTCGCACGAGCAGGTGAGCATTCCTCCATCACGACCAGCGTGACGCCGAGCTTGAAAGTCTTTTACTGATAGTTCTATGTTTCAATTTATATCCAAAAGACTGCTGGTGACCAAGACTCACTGTCTTTATACTGAGAATATATTAGGTTATAGAAGCTGTTTATTAGGTTTGTCATTACATTTTTCATTGGACAAAAAAAAACTGGCGGGACTGCCCTCCCCTTACGGTCAATTGTGGTCAATTGTTGATGCATGGAATCTTCCCGTGCAGGTTTTCGAGCCGTGTTCCATCCTCGTCGCCCACATGCAAGGATCAAACACTCGGAAATCAGTCTTTCATTGTTTCCCGGACCGAAGGATCCAGGGACTCGAGATCCAATTATTAAGGTATCCCATCCTATTTGCTTGCTATATTTACATTCAGGACATAAGAGGTCATTCCCACTTTTTTCTGCCCCAGGCAATTCACCCTAGTCAAGGAGTTGTCCACACGACTGGAGAACCTACTACGGTGCATCACGGTAGAGATACTTCATATGGCCTCTCGCTTGGTGTCAATGCCGTAAGTGGTCTGCCTCTTCATCATCTCCGAGTGAATTCTGACCAGATGGCCCCAGTATGGAAAAGTGGATCTTACACATACTCGTTCTCGATCCCAAGACACAACTTCATCAGGAAGTATTTTCAGCTCGGGGATTGAAACAAACAAATTGTTATTGACGCTGCAGGAGGATCGTGAGGCGCGTGACGGAGTCCTGTAAGTGATTTCAATTTTTCACTAATGATATGGAAACCCCTGTAACCATTTTGGCCACAACTGTCAACCTATGGGATCATTTCACCACCAAAGGTCAACTCTGGACTTTGCTGTACTGCTATATCTTCCCAGCTCAAACACACAAGCATTTGAAGCACGCTTGACTGTGATATCTAGGCGAGGTGCCGACTTCACTGTAGACCCCAGGGGGTGGGGCCCAATATCAAAGTTAGTTTTTGAAGCTCATCTGATTTCGAAAACAGTTTATAATTTTTTTGAATTTTACTTTTTTAACATATGTTATGAATCAAGGACTTGGACTATGCAGTATGACGGAATGGCTGAGCTTGGAAGACCTACATTGACACAGTCTCCTGATGGATCGAGAAATTTATTTTCGGTCTCTAATATTGAAAGTGAATAGAAGACTTTTCAAACACCCTTGTGAAGCGCGGGTTATTTTATTAATGTGATGTGCAGGTCTATCAAATCAATGTAGAAAGTAGAAGGGTGTTATTTGATTCACTGACTGAATTTAAGCATCAAGAAATATCGCTGTCAAGACAAATTGAACAAATCTCTCAATGATTAGATACAACAAGTTCAAACACACCTTTCAGTTTACCAACATGAAATTCAATTTCTTGATGATAGATGACCCATGAGAATGTCTCAAAGATAAAAAGTCAAATAGATATTTATGTATACAATCCATAGTGGTCCTTTAGCTTACAGAATACATCATTCTTTTTTTATAAGAATCACCATCACCTCCGACGATCCGATCGATCATGATGAGATGTGCGTCTCTGTGGACTTCGTGACCTACTTCTTCTAGAACCACGTTCATCTCGATCTCGCCTCATTCCACTTCCTCTACCCTCATGACGAGACTGATAGTGTCGAGAGTCAGATTTACTTCTTTCAGTTGATTCAAATGTCATTTCATAGTTTTTGTGAGCTTTGTGATTTGTATTCGTTCCATGAGAATGATGTGATGAGCGTGGTTGTGATGGATGTGATGGTTTTCGATCACTTGAAGTTTGAGGGTTTGTCCTTCGTCCAGTTCTTTTAAAAACCCAATCTGAATGACTGAGGAGCAATCCAGAGTATCAAATTAATCAAATCAATCAGATTTCAAAAAGTTTTCATAAATCAAATAGGAGAAAAAAACTTTGCACTAACAGTTTTGAGACAGATTGAGAGAAATCAACATGAATTCGACGATCATCAATCAACACACCATCCATTTTGAAATAAGCCCTTTCAGCATCTTCTCTTTGATCGAATTCAATAAACGCATATTGAAGACTATCACCAGTTTTGCCATCCTTGATGACTTCACAACTCAAAATGGTTCCAAACCTACTAAAGATTAACTCAAGATCTTCAGATCTAGTGATCGAATTCAATTTACAAACAAACAAAATGTTTTCAGGTGGAGCTACTTCGGCAAATGGAAGATCTCCAACCATTTCAAGTGTTAAGGCTTGAGCTCTTGCATCACGTTCCCTTCGTCTACGTTCAGCTTCTTCTTCATCTAAATCTTCATCCAACTCTTCTTCATCTCCTACCGCCAAAATCTTGCCCTTCAGATGACTAGGTGGTTCGATAGGAGAATTAGGAGGGATCACAAGTTCTTCAGGGTCTGGAAAAGGATCGTCAAGTACGATCACATGTCTTAATCGAATATCTCGTAATGGTCGTCCGTTATCATCGAGAAGTGCATCATTAATCTTGTCAAGCGTTTCCAATCCTTCTACCACTCTACCAAAAACTACATGTTTTCCATCCAGGTAATCTAGACCATCTTCAAGAGTGAAGAAGAATTGACTGGCACATCTGCCGTCCGACACGGCCATCGAGAGAGTTCCTTTGGTATTATGTTTGAGTAGTTTGAGGTTTTGAGGAAATAGCTCGGCTGGAAAGTAGGTTTTTCCATAGTAAGGATAAGAGCTAGATGGTTTCAGCTTTGAATAGATTGACTCTCCTCCGGTACCAAGCTCAGTAGGATCACCAGTCTGTGCAATAAAGTCCTTTTGAACTGAAAGTCAAAAGTCAACAGCCAACGAGAAAACAGATTCAGTTGATAAACTTCCTAGTGAAGAATTCGAAAAAAATTCAAATCAGATTCAAGAAGTGGACAGACCATTGAAGAATGAAGTAAAATTATAGTAAAACGTTTTACAGAGTTTGAGAAAATTTTCACTAGTGATAGGGCAAAGGTCGGTTTCGAGATCAACGACAAGGTCACCAAGACTTGTCTAAAAAGGAATCGAGTGTAAGTCACCATCACCAAGATGAGAATACGAAAGGTTTGACTTACTTCGAAGAGCACACTCATCTTTCACTGCAGTCGAACAAGACACTCGCGATCAGTCCGAGAGCACAAGAATCGTGGATTGCTAATGATCCGACCCGAGAAACTTCTCCGACCCGATCACAAACGCTCTGCCCACCTCTGGCCCGCAGGAGTGCGAGACGGGCCCAACTACCGCACAAGACTTCTTGATCAACCTCTTCAAGCCTTGTGACATCTTCCTTCGAAAAGGCTCAGCTTTTAAAGTCATCTTTGCAATTTGATGGTGTCAGTCTTTCTCTGCCTATCTTACTGTTTGATATCAATGCATCCACATCACATCATTTAGACCCATCCTCATAATTTTTTGGGGGTTTCTCTTGATCCAATTGATCCCAAGCCAAAGATGAAGGACAGATGTTATAAGTTAATAAATCATCAGACATCTAAAACATTTGTACCATTTCTTCAACTGAGGATCCTGCATCACTCAAAAGCTCTGCACTCCTTCAAATTCCACACTCTAAAACTTCAAGGAACCAATCACTCCTCTTTACAATCTGTTCAACATATCCAAACTGATTTTCAACCTCAAAAGTTACTGAACCTTATCCTTGGTCTCTCAATGTCAAGTGAACAAGAAGACTTTAGAATGTAAAGGCTTGAGTTGAAATAATAATTGATACTCTTTATTGAAAAGTTAATCTTAAAGGTCTTTGCAAACCATCTCACACAACTCTAGCTTTTACTATTTTTTTGAAAAAATCTAAAAACTAAAAAGATACAATCCCGACCCCGCACTCCTCGGTACCCCGGTGTTGTTTTTCAATTTCCGGTCCTGTTCACCTGGAGATGGAGAGCCACTCTCTTTATATCAACTGCTGATTGCTTTTCTGTTGTTTCTCTCTTTGTTTGATTGCATTACACTTAGAATATTTTTGTGGACAACTCTTCTTGTTGATTCATCTTTTCATAAATTTTGGGTTTTTTTTGTTGGATTATCTTTGCCTTTGATATTGTCACATCAACACAATTCCCACCCTTACCCAGCTGCATGAATACAAAGGATTCACAATTAATTATCAGCCGAGCGGAGTCACTGATAATTTATTGGTGCCCGACATGTCATGCATCCCACCCTGCATTGACCTTTTCATTCCTTGAGTGTATTTTCATTTACTTTCATTGATCGATACCAATTACGTTTAGACATCCTCAACTTGCCAATGCATAGGATTTAATATTGCCTTTTGCGTCTAATAACTCACCCCAGCTCAATACCCACCTTTGAGCAATTGATCAGACCATAAGTTAGATGATCGAAGACAAAGTAATTTGCATCAGCTTTTCCATGTCATTATGACATGATGAGCTGTATTTGCACTAAGATTTGACTTTTCATCCCATGCATTTTCTGTTGTCGATCACATCCCATATGTTGGTATACAGTTGACAAAAGACCATTGAATGTGGTTGCTTTATTGCCTTTAGTGTTGATTTGTTCACACCCACGTGATTCACACCCTTACCCAAGGAATGATACAACAGAGAAAACCCAATCAGTCAGGAGCCAAACAAGGTGAATAATCATTCATCAATACCCGCTTCATATGTATATACTGTATACCTTGAATTGAATTTTGCATCATGTCTGCGTTGATTGTTCCTTGACTTTTGGCTTATCAAGTCAGATGCACTGTCTTTGTCTTTGAGAGTTGAGTGCATATGTAATGTAGCTTTTCCCGGGGATTGTCTTGTCAATGCAGTGTGCCTTGTAAAAGATCTTGATGGATGAAGTAACATGACGTCGATTGAGGGAGCACTACACATGTCAACACATCTGATCCCTCAGCGCTTGCACAGCTTTGGGGCCCCTTGATGACCATTAATGAGGGAGGACTACACATGTCAACACATGTGTTTCCTCAGGGCTTGCACAGCTTTGGGGCCCCTTGATGGCCATCAAGGGAGGACTACACATGTCAACACTGGTGATTCCTTGGGGGCCCTCAATGGCCATCAAGGGAGTACTACACACGTCAACACATTCCATATTTCAGAGTTGAGGGCACATGAAATGGTTCTTGAAGGCCAATGGTCCTCTGATTCTTCCGGTCAGCGGACACATCATTTTTGTTTTGATCTTGAGACGTGTTCAGATGTTTGCAGGCATCATCTTGAGCTCTTTTGAAGCTTTGCTGAATCTTTCATGCAGCTTCTGTGAATTCTTTCTGAAGCTTTGCTTACTGAAAAGCTCACGTTGTGGATACCTATTGTCCTTTGGCGCACATGTTGGGTTGCTTTTCTCTGATTTGGCTCTGATCAAGCTTCCAAGACTGTTTCCTCATTACCTTCACAGCCCCCATCTACTAGGCTCTGGCAGGCCAGAGACTACCACAGAATCATGAAAGATTCTGATCTCATGTCCAGCTGAAGTTACATTGAAGCAACGCTCGGACCTCAGCGTAATCTACCGTAGCGTTGTGGATAATCCATAACACTACGGTAGACCGTTCTAAGTACCCACCGTGCCATACCGTTATGGTCAGACAACCGTTTCCCAAAGTACATTCCGGCACGGTGGGACCGTAACGTACCTTACCGCAATCGGCTTTTTTGGCTTTGGTATCGGTCAATTACGGTTGAATTTAAAAAAAAAACAAAAAAACAAATAATTGAAGGAGAGACAAGAAATTGAAAGAAAAGAGATAACAAAATAAAAGAACTTGTTGTAAATAGATGAAAGAAAAAAAGAAAGTAAAACAATATTGAAAAAGATACAATGTCAAACTACTTTTTGGTCTGTCCCTTCTTCTTCAGTTGTGCCTCGTATTCTGTGAGGTACTTCACTGCATCTTCAAACTTATCTGTGGGTACAATTCCAGACTTGATCCACTCTCTACATCCCACCTTTCGAGTGATCATATTTGGAAGTATAGAACCTTGTCCCGGAGCAGCAACATCTGCAGCCGAGGAAAACAAACGCTCACAACAGCAAGTAGTTCCCGAAATGGACAAGTAGTCCCTTGCAATCGAAGCAAGTACCGGGAAGGACTTCTCATGTTTCTGAAAAAGTCCCAAATTGATATCAGTTTTCAATCACAAGATGAAACGGGTGAAAATACAGAGAGACTTACCCTCCACCAGTCTAAAGGTTTTTCATCAGGTGAAATGCCAAACTTTCCTGACCAGTAATCAGTCAGCTCTTGCTCGTATTGAGAAGCTGGAGCATTGTTATCAGACCCTGCTGCAAACATGTCGAACTCATCGATAGCAGTAGGTACAGTATCCTTATGAACTATCGGAGCTTCGGTTGTTTTGGCTTTCCACTCGATCACCCGTGCTTCAAAAACCTCTTTAATGGCATCTTTGGCCAAATCGCTCGCAAGTGGATAGAAATCTTGAATAAACTTCAATCGTCTCCGAGGATTAAGAATTGTCGCGATGACAATTATCTCAGTGTCTAAAGCCTCATCCTGGTATGTCTTGAGCCAGGTTAACATCTCATCAATCGCGCGGTGGATACTAGGAAATGTGGTATTGTCTTTCAACAAGTCGAGTTTCTTCTTGATGCGGAGGTATTCAGCTAGAACCTCGCATCCTGAGGAGAAGTCACCCTGCATTCGGAAGGTGGCTTCTTCAAATACCTTGTATCAGAAGTCAAACATTTCAGTGTTGAAAAAGAGAATATATATATATATTCATCATTTTAAAAAACTTAAAGCTTACCTCTAGAACCGGATTCAATGCCTCAACGGCATCCCACTCTTCATCGCACATAGAAAGCCCACGATAATATTTGTTGCTCTTTTGATCCTGTGAAGTCATAGCATTCAGGATCTATTCAATCAAATTCAAATTAATATGATCAATATGATACTAGGCGTGATGATATAAGTTGAAAAACACTTGCCTCTTTTCCTTCACATGCCCTACGCCGACTGTCAGCCTTGACGTTCCATCTGACACCATACCCCACAGTTAGCACCCGAATCCCTTGGGCTTTGGCTTTGGAAGCGAAGTAATTCCGTCTTGATGAGCTGGAACATGTCATTTGGATAAGTTTGTCGACCTAAAAATGCATACAAGAAATAACATCAGGATCAATAATGTTTAATTGATATACATCGCACCTCACTGGCCTTGTGGACACTACGTGCAATGATATCTGCAGATTGGATTGCCTCCTCTGAAGGCTCCTCCAACAGGGAACCTTCCTCAGGCGCATCTGGCACCAAATTACCTTGTTCTTTGTCTGATTCTTCTGATACATCAATATCCAATTCGTCGCCGTCGTTAAGTCGAACCGTTGGAATAGGAACTGAAAGGCCTGGTTTCGTGGTTGGTTTTGTGTGACCAGCGCTGATGTTGAGGGTTTTGAGTCCATGGCTGACCATTAGAGCCAGTTTGTGACAGAAGCACTTAACATGGTTCTTTGTGGGTGACCAGTGAACTGGTGAGTCACTTTCTGCAAATAGCCGGGCCATTTCACGTGCCATTGGTCCGTTCGAGGATCCAGAATCAGTTGTCTGACCTATCATCTGAGAATTTACAATTCATCAGTCACTTCAGAGATCAAGAACGAAAAACAATAAGTGATTACAACTTACCTTCTTATGCAGACCATGTCGGATGAGATTTCGGGCTACCGGTCGAGCTAAAAGATCACCACAATGGTGCCAAGTAACCCACTTCAATGTCAGATGCACTGTAACGTAATTCCAGTTGTCATCGATATAGTTTATCATGACACCTATAAATGCCATTCGATTCCCTTTAGTGGTCCAGCCGTCGTGAGCCAATGAGAACATACTCGAGTTATTCTGAAAATGTGAAAATATCATCAATTCGTAAAACTTTAGATTAAAACCCAAGAGAAATTGATGAAATTAAAACAAATAGTTCTCACCTTGATGCGGTTGATAACTACATTATACAAAGAATAAAATAATTCCTTGGCAGTAGTAGCAGCCCACTTGGGAGATCGAAGCACACCAGTAGGATTGCACAATTTGAATGCTGCTCGTAACGTCGGGTCCTGAAAACGAAGCCACGGTAACGCATGCCAAAGAATCCAAATGACGAGTACAACATTCAATAGCTCTACACTGAACACTGACTGAGACAGAAACGACTTTATTGTGTTACCACTTTTCATTGAGACTTGGACCGGTTCGTTTAGTTCTTTCCATGTTGGAGGTAATTCTAGTCCAGCTTTGATTGCTCGATGACGTCCCTCGCAAACCTTCCTTTTTTTGTATCCATCTCGATGGCCATAAAGGTTCGAATTACCATCGTCCCCTCTAGCATATACTCCCTTGCAAAACTTACATGGATAATTGCGTTTGATACCCGTATGCTAGTCAAAAGAAATGAACAAGTCAGTGATCTACAAATGGTCAAAAGAATTTAATTATGACTTACCTCTTCCCCTGGAACAAATTCGGGTTCCTTATAGTAAGCAAGTAAATTCTTGACTTTGTCTGTAATTCCAGTTCTAAATTCGGTTTTGGGGCCTTCGTCATCGGTTACTTGATCCACATCGACATCCGTTGGAGCAGTGAAGTCCTGTTAATGTGATTACCCATGATCAGTTACAACATCGGATCTCGAGTCAATAGAATAAGATAAAGATACAAATCAAAAAAAGAAAGAAAGTATCAAATATCAAACCTTGATGGCCGGAGCACGTCTCCGCTTATTATCTTCCAAAGACTGGGTGCCACTCTTTTTCTTGCGCTTCTTAGATGGTGCTTTTTTTTTGTGATTTTTGTGTTTTAGTTGGGGTTGGATTTGGGGAAGGTTCGTTTTCGGGATTTAGGTCTGCCTGAAAGTCTGAGCTATTTCCTTCTTCATCATCGGAAGAGGGGATGCCAATGGTGATGGGATTTGCTGGTCGAGTTAAGGCAGTGCGCGAGTCGCCTGAAGTTGATAGAAACCCTGGATCTTGACGACGTGGGCTGGCTCGTGCAGAGCGACGAGTGGAGATGGGGGGGATGAGGTTTGAAGGATTCGAAGTGCTAGCGTTGATTTCAGGGCTATCCATGATGGTTAAAGGGAAATCGAAGGAAAATTTAGCAAGATGAGTCACAGTTCAGTGGAATGAGAATGAAAACGTAAAATGAAACGGTGAATTGGAGGGGAACGAAGAGGTTATGAACGAGACAGGACGACTTACTAATAGATCACGAGCTGTCTTTTCCCTGCGTATGGACTGCAGGGAGTTGCAGTCCAAATCAGGACAATCAGGTCCCTTGCCTTGTGATCCATAAAGATCGTGGTGTGGTAAAGGTGATTCAGTGACGAGCTCGACGCATGGGCCCGCGGCTTTACCCCCCAGGTTATTACCCGTAGTCAAACCGTAATAACTACGGGTTTCGGCACGGTGACCGTAGTCAATTTACGCCGTAAACGTAATTTCAACCGTAACCACACTTACCCATCCCGTGGTTACGGTACGGTCCTACCGTAATTATGAACGGGTCATTACGCTACGGTGCAGGCCGTGCCGTGGCGTGCCGTTTGCCGTTTTCAACACGCTGAGGTCCGAGCGTTGATTGAAGCTTTATTGAATACATACTGAAGCTTTCCTGAGACCTTTCTGAATCTTTCATGAATCTTTCATGAATCTTACATGAATCTTTCATGGAGTCAGTGGTAGGCTCTGGCCTGCCAGAGCCCAGTAGATGGGGGCTGTGTTTCCTCATCCAACCACATCAATATCAAAATTCTTATGATTATTGTTTTCATCACCTTTCAAAACCTGTTTTTTGCTTGCAATTCGAATTCTGTTCCAGGTTGTTTGTGAAGTGGTTGTGAATGGCTACATCATCTTTTTCAACGCCAAAAACCACTGTTTCATTGGTGATGTAATTCTGCTTTTCCCCTTTTATTTTGGTATATTTTCTATCTATTTGGATAGGTAACTTGATTCTTAATTCAGGCTAAGGGCATTAACACAACCAGCGGTCAAGAAAATTTTCTCCACAGTTTGCGGCAGCTTTCAAGTCAATTGAATGTGACTGTTAAATTAGGTATGGAGCAGATTGAAGAACATCAATATACAAACCACAGATAACATTAGTGACTGTTCTTGGACTGCTTTCTTACTGTTCATTTGCAATGGATGGGTTCTTGTGATTAGATGTTTGTGTTTGGGTTACTTTTCAGTTAATGTGTCCTCGTTTGTTTTCTTTTGTTTATAGTTCTTCACAACATATGAGAAAAAGTTAGAGTTTCATTTTTCCTCATTTATTTGTTCTCCTGGATCCACTGTGGGCGGAAATATGAGTAATCAATACAAGTTGAGGTTAGTTGCCATTGCGTGTGAACAAGACAGTTATGAATCAAAAAAAAATAAGATCTTGACCCCCAATGATAGACATGGACTGGTGATCACATTTCAAGAAGCAAACAGGGTAGGAAACCAGTGCCCTCTTGCGGGCATGCCCACCTGTTCTCTAGTCCTTATAAAAAATCAAAAAAAGATCCATATGATCAAAAAAATGTCTTACACATCTTACAAAAAAACCTTACAGACAACAATTTGTACAAAAGCAAAAACTTCATCTTGATGATGAGAATTCTCATACATACCAGTTACAGTCGATTTCACCAAGCTTGGAAAGAATTCCGCGCCAATTTGCCCAAGTTTGGCGGGCAAAAGTTTCCAAGCTTTCTGAAATCGACTGTATCTCATTTTACATAACACAGCACTGATTCAAAAAAAAAGGTTTTTCTCTTCTACTAGAACGGCCCAATGCCCATACACATTCACATCATGAACTTACATGGTTCCATCGTAGTCAACTCTTTTGAAGGGAACAAACTCCAATCCAGTCCAAATTCACAAGTACCCAACCAATTCATCCTTCTCCTTTCCTCACCTCTCCTCTCCTCAAGCTCAATGTATAAACCCTCTAATCCTTCTAGTTCTAATCACCAAACAAACTCTCATCTTCTCACTCTTTTCAAACCCTCAATGTATCTTAATTCTTTTAACTCCTTATACTTTACCCAAACTGTCCTTCCAAATCCATTCCAACAGAAAAAAAAGAAAATCTATTGGTTTGATACAATATCTTTTTTGGTTTTTCTGTCAACAAGAACAACAACTTTTGCTTTTTTCTGTTCTTTTTCTTTTTTCTGTTCTGTTTTCTTTTTTCTGTTCTTTTTTCTTCTTTCAAAAATACACATCAAAAAACCCCTACATAAACATTATAACATACCACATATAAACGATTTTTTTAAATAATACTAATATTATATATATAAAGACAATACGATTTTAAAATCTAATTCCACATACTCATTGAAAAGAAAAGAAAAGATCACATACAAAGTAACAAAGAAAAAGGAATGAAAGTTTATTAAACCCCCTCCCCACCAAAGAAAAAAAAGAAAAATTCCATTTAATTTAATTTATAAAGCAAAGTAACAGAAAAAAAAAGTAAGAAGATTAATTTATAAATCAAAAAAAAAAAGAAATAATAATTAAAGCAATATAATAATAAGAAAAAAAAAGAAAGAAAGAAAAAGGAAAAAAAGATGATTTAAAAAAAACCCATCTTTAAAGTTTTCATTCTTCATTTTTTTTTTCATCTTTCATTTTTTCATTTTTTCATTTTTTTCATTTGTTCTTTTATCCACCTTCACTTCTAGAAAACCCTCTTCTTCTACCCCCTCTATGACTACCAATCTCAATATGTAAAGCCTGATTAGAAGTAAAAGCCGTAGAATCCATTCCACCATTCCCATCACTTTCATCTTCATCACTACTACTATCATCATCTTCTTCTTCTTCTTCTTCTTCTTCATCCGTACCACTACTCGTTCTACATCCTCCTACACTTCCATCCGTTGGTAAGTTTAATAAAGGTGGTCTTCTAATCGAATAATTCCATTTCTTTCCATCATGATACATTTCTGGTTCTTCTACTCCTTCTACTTCTTCTTCTACCTCTTCTTCTACTTCTTCTACTTCCTCTTCTTCATTTTCATCCTCAACTTCTCCTTGTAAAACGTGATTAGAAATCATCCCATCTGATGGATTTGGACGATGATCAGGTGTAGGAGGAGGTGTAGCACTCGAACTTTCCACTTCACTTCCCCTAACCCAAGATTTAGATCTCTTAAACCGTTGTCGAACACGTGAAAGGAGTGCTTCTCTAAACTTCACCGGTCTAGCGTTTTCAAGCTTGATACACTCTTCATCTTTAGATGAGATCTCGAGCTGATCATGATAATTAGGTGCACTACTAGTGGTCACTATCATACTCGTCATCGTAGGTTTCGCACAAGGTCCACTCGTACCTGCCACAACTCTCTTCAATGATCCTTTTGAACTTTTCATCAATCCTTGTAGGAGAGATGGACCAGGTGAGGTAGGTAATGATCTTCTTTGAATCGCTCGATCTTTACCTCTTTCGACTTCTTCCATCGGTACCATTCCAGTGACAGGTCGATTGAGCATATGAGGATGTTGTGCATAGATCGCTACATTATTGGTCCCACTAGTCGAACTTGAACAAGCAGCTAAACTATTCCTAGGTGAACTTGCATTCGATTCAATCTCTGTACTCGTTTGATTAAAGTCAGCAGGTGATACGCCACGTCTTGATGATCGCATCGATGAAGATCCATCATGCTCTTCATTACATGCCCCAACAGATCCTTTTAGCAATCCTAATGAGCTACGTGCAGGTGGACCGGTCTTGGATCTCGCTCGGAGATTATTACTCATCAGTTTCTCAATATCATCTTCATGGGCTTCGATCCCAGTGGAAGGGTTATGAGATGGATTGGTCGAAGCTCCTGTCCGACCACCCCGGAGATTGAATCCGCGCTTGAACACACTGCTACTGGTCGAATTACTGTGATGATTGACAGGAGAAGAGAGCGGAGAAGACGGTCGTGCGCCAAATTCAACCGATCTAGAAGCGGTAGTGGAAGCCAAGATGGGCGGGTGGTAGTTGAGCGTATTCCAATTGCATTGAGAGTGATGTGGTGGATGATGAGTGTTGTGTTGATTGGCGTTAGGGTTAGTATGATGACCGGCAAGAGTCATTTCAGCAAACGTTTGAAACGGTAGCTGTCGTCGATCGACTGGACTCGTACAGACACTTGCGCTCGCGCTCGCACTGGCACTGCTGATACTTTTGGATCGGTTCTCCCTTCCACCAGTGGATCGCTGTAAACCTAATTTGATAGCTGCTTTCCTTAGACTTTGTTTCACTCCTCCTAATGGTTTCTCGACCCTTTCATCACTTCTTCTAGGATGCGAAAAATTCGCCACCTCTTCATTTGTCACATGAACTGCATCTCCACCCACCGGGGCTGTTTCGTGTACCCATTCCTGCGTGTTATCGAGATTGCTTAGAACCCATGGATGTGTCTTGGATTGATGACATGGATATAAATCAAGCGAGAGGGAATCAACCATGGATTCGAAAACGTTTTGGGGAAATAGATATGGACAGAAATCGGAGAAAAGAAATCAACCCTCAAATCAAACTCACCTTGACTTCTTCAAGTGTGATCCGTTTCCGAGGATCCTTTGTCAAAAGTTTCCTCAAAAGGTCAATCAATTCCCTCGAATCTCTTTCAAACGGTCCATCATGATTAGGATGATCCCAATCTATCATCAATGATTGTCTTTCGGTTCCTGCCCATTCTGGTATCACCACTGCTTCTCTCCAAATCACATTAAAGAGTTCATATTCATTAGGTGCCTTGAAAGGTGTTCTACCAAATAATAAACAAAACAGTGTAACGCCAAGTGCCCAAATATCAATGCCTTTTCCAACACCTGGTCTTTCACCCTTTCCAAACGTATTAGGTGCTAAGGGATGTGATATCACTCGGTAAGTCGGTACACCGTCTAGCAAGACTCGAGTCTGACTATTCCCACTGTTAGCTCGATTGAATTGATGACGCTCAGGTGTTGTCGAATTGTTTGCATAAGTTACACATTGAGTAAAGTAATCGACCGCGTTGACTTCAGGTGGTGTAGCAGTGGGAGTAGCCTCAACCGGACAACAGAGTTCAGGTGCCATGAAAGCTGGGCTACCTTCAGTCTTCCTCAAGGCCTGGTCATCTAATGAAGTAGTCGTTCGAGCACCTTCGCTCCCTGGCTGATGTTGCTGTTGGTACTGATTCATGATTGAGGATAGGTTCGAACTTGATCCCGATCGCTTCAAAACTCCAGAAAGATGAGAAACACCAAAATCTGAAATCTTGACCGTTTCTCGATCGGCTGTCCAAAGTAAATTCGCCGGTTTGATGTCACGATGGATGATACCTTGATAATGAACTGTGCCGACAACAAAGAATGTCTGATTAACCGTCTTTTCCACTGAAAAGGAGAATGAATGAAATGGTCACGAACGATATTCGAGTCCTAACAAGACTTGTCGAAACGTTCGACGGACTTGTTCCACGGTCATCAACGGTGTTTGAGTGATCTCATCTTGCCAGATAACCTGACCGCCTTCCATGAACTCTAAAACTGCAAACACGTGATTCAAAAGGTAAGTACGCAACACGATCCACATGACTGAGCTTGTGCTAAAGAAAAAGTAGTGGAAATCAAATGAACAAAAAAAAGCGGTAAACAGCATGGCTCAACTCATGAAAACCTTTTTACTCTTGGCATCATCAATCACCTCTTTGAGTTGAACAATATGACGATGTCGAAGTCGTTTCATGATAGCAATCTCCTTCTTCAATTTATCATCTACATCTCTCAACAATTGTGTAGGACCAGCTTCAATCGAAGGAGACAGTTGACCTTTGGAAGAAGACGCTTCTCGTTCTCTTTCTCGTTGCATCTGTGATCTTCTCAACGATTTCGGTCCTCGTGGTTCTCGTCTAACCACTTTGATAGCCTGAAGACATTGATTTCCAATCAACCAAGTTCACAGTCAGTTTTCTCATTTCCTTCTCACCTCTTTCTGGATAACCAAAAACCAACAAGAGAGCTTAAACCAAAAATCAAACACACGTACGACCGTCTCATAATCGTGATCATGTTTGAAAGAAGTAGTAGGAGAAGATTGAAGTCGAAGATCATCACCACTACGCTCCTTGTTGACCGTTGGACTTCGAAGATTGATGATTTTATCCATATTCTTTCCTATATAAACTATCCCATGTACACCCTTTTGTTTGGCAATTCACGATTACCATTTCAAATGATCATTATGGATTTGACCAGCAGTCACCCAAACCCAGTAAGTCGATCCAAAGGTTTACAGCCGCCGCATACACGCGTATATTCCGATCATCCCACATTGGCGTGCGTATCCAAGTTTACATACAGTCACAAGCGTGTTTGAGAATGTCCGTACCCGCCGACAAATGATGTATTGACCCGTGTTGACCAAATCGGTAAATTCAAGATTTCCGATCAAATTCAAATTCAAAATCCATGTATGTAGGATGGAAAAACGCCAGGAAAAGAAAAAAAAAGGTAATTACAGAATGTCTCGAGATCAGTCAATAGGCTTGATGATGATATCTGATGAGAAAAGCAACTGACCCTTCCGATTTCTTTGCCTTTCATATATTGATTGATGATCAATCTACCAGTCCTAGAATCTCTACTCTTCAAGAGTTTAGTAGTATGTCTAACCAATTCAGGATTCAATGTATTGAAATTGTTCGGAGGATTGAGAGACCAAGTAGAAGTAGAACTTTGTGGTAGTGTTTGTGGTAGTGGTTGAGATTGAGAATGTGATGGTGATGTTGACTGTGATTGAGATTGAGATTGTAAATGAGATTGTAATCTAGATTGAGATTGAGATCTTGTTTGAGATTGGTTTTGATTGTGGTTATGATTTTGATGTTGATTATGATTTTGAAGATGAGGTTGATGTAAAAAAGAGATTGGAGAATGTCTGCCTTGTCTAGAAGAAGAAGAAGCTCTAATGGTTGAAGGAGGTGAATGTTCTATTGTGATTTGTTGATCTAAACTTAAATGTCGATGTAATAAAGCTGATGAAGGTGATGAAGCAGAAGCGATTGATAATAAACTTTGATTTGGATAATGATATTTGTTTGACGGATTACTAGTGGTTGCTGCTCTTCTTCTGGATGAATGACGTTGCGGTTGATGTTGATGATTAAAAGTTGGATTTGGATTAGGTGAAGAACTAACTGAGACCGAATAACGTTGTAAGATACTGAGTGGATCTGATTCCTCTATTGAGCTCTGATGAATGACACTCATGTTTGATTGAAATTGATACGTAAACTGAGGATGAAGATGAAAATGAGAATGAGAATGAAGTTGATGAGGGTTGATGAGTTGATGAGTTGATGATGATGAATGAAATTAAATTAAATCTAAATTCTGAGTTTCAAGTACTTAAGCTTATTAAGCATCTCACCATTGAAAACCCGTTTCAAAATTTAACAGTAAAGTACTTCACAACACAGGGTAGAAACTACTTAGACACCATTTAATAGTTAAAAACTGAAGCTTATCTCTAAATATTAAACTTCAAGTGGCCAGATTTGCTAACGTGATGGTCTGATGGTCCATGGATGTTGAAATCGATTTGTGAAGATAATAAACTGAGAATTCAATAGTGGCTCTCAAACCTGCCCCAGTTTTCAAAAAACCCAGTTGACCCAGTTGTTTTTTGGCAGTAACTTTGTGTATCAACTTGACATTTGTTGACAGCTCCCAGCCAAAAATTCCACTGGTGCAACCAAGTTTTTTGAAACTGGGTCAGGTTTGAGAGCCACTAATCAACTTTCTTCTCAACTCAAATCTCATCTCATCTCACTTTTTCACAATTTCACAATAGACTTGTTCAAATATAAAAAAGAAATTTGAAGTCCAAGATTTGAAGCAAAGAATTTGGAAGTATGTTATTGCATACAGCCCGTAGAGACGGGTGTATGAGATTAAGAAGCGACAGCAAGCGAGCCAATTTCTATTCGACTTGAAATTTTTGGGGGGTCTCTCAAAGTTGGATTTGAAGTTTTGGAGTTAAAAGATTTGGAACTCTCTTGCTAGTGACATCGCTCATTTCAGCCTGTCACACATTAATACAGCCCAATACAGCATGAGAGTAGCGCGAGGGAGGTGGTAGATATACTGTGACATGCTTGGATAGGAAAGATACGGTTTAAAAAGGTTCAAATCCCAAACTTCAAATCCAACTTTGAGAGACCCCCCAAAAATTTCAAGTCAAATAGAAATTGGCTCGCTTCGTACATCTCATACCCTTCATGTACAGACTGTAGCAATAACATAGTTCCAAATCGTTTGCTTCAAATTATGGACTTCAAATTTCTTTTTTATATTTGAACAAGTCTAATTTCACAAGCTGTCTCTTTCCAAAACTCAAAACCATCATCAGCTCATCCCATTAAAAATCTACTTGAACATTCTTGATTCTCGTGTTGATTTCAATACCAAAACACACAAATCCGATCACACAATCCAATGCCATCATGAACGTTTGAATTTAAAGAAACGCAGGGGTATGATCTTCATATTTCTACTAAACATCTTTTCAAACAAATATCAATCATTGAATCAAAATGTATCATCTACACATACATACATAGATAATGAGAATCTATGTCAGAGAATTGATTGGATCATCTTTCAAAACTTTGAAATGTCGAGAGATTAGAAATCAGAATTAAATAAGGCCCTTTGGCAAAAGGGCAAAAGTTCAAAGTGAATCATGAAATTACCCTAAAACACTAGCGGCTAGATAGTTAACTAAGAGTTCGAAATCATGCAAGTTTCTGATGACGATAAAAGTTCAAGGTTATGAAGTTTGTAAAATTCAAAGGTAAACAAGGGTACAAGAGAATTGAAGTGGTGTTGTATGACGTCAATAACACCACCAAAGTGATCCGATTACATATCCGACCCGTCAACAAAATACCTGCATAAACATCTGATAGGAAAGAATTGAGGAATTTGTAGAGGTCAAGATCATCTTCAAGTAGTAAACATTAACAATACATTTTCATCAGGCTTTGAGAAGAAGCTGTTGTAGGTATGAAAAGAGGTATGTAAGAAGAATTTACAATCATTTGAGGTTTTGGATGTGCAGAGATGTGTTTTATAAGAAACTAAGATAGCTTGAAGGCTTGTTATTCTTGTTGTTTCAAGTCATCATCTTTAGATAGCTCAATCACTTTAAATACATTTGATGCACAGGAATTTCATCCAAAATAGATATCTTCTTATTTATAACTATCAACTTCCAACATGTGTTTTTATACCTTGTATCCTCTTTTTGCAAAATATCTATTGGAGAGAAACTTGCGAAGAGGATACGTAAATTTCTTAGGTTTCATAAATCACTCAGATCTAACCTTGAACTTGTACTTGTAGCTCCAGAACCAGAATTGGATCTCAAAGTTGGATTGAATTTTCAAAAAGCCCAGCTTGATGAAAAGTTTCCAGTAAAAGTTTCATGGTTCAAAGGACTCAAGAGGTATGGCAAGAAGAGGACAGAGAACCCCACTCGAAATTGAAAATATATCAAGATTTCAAAGAAAATAGATGATTGATTGAGGTTTTAGTAAAGACTTCGAAACGTACGGAAAGGGAAAGATTCGAATGATAGATTTATACAACAGTGAGGTACTCATCATAGAAGAAAGAGTTCAACTACTTGATTACCAACACTTTCAACAAAATCCAATAAAAACTCTATCAAAAAAAACGAACAAAGAGAACGTTATAAAAAGTAGTCTAGGTTGACTTCGAGCGTCAATTTGATTGTATGCAAGTCAACTGAAATCGGATAGATAACACAAGTTCTTGTTGAAGATCAAGCATTCAAGGAAAACGAGTCACTAGGAGCATTTGATATCTATTCTGCTCCTGAGCAGTCAAAAATAGTTCTACTGACGATTCGACGACTCGATTTTAGGTACCAACTAGACGATGGAATCCTAGAGAGTGATAATCAATTACCACCCAAGATCGAGCCCATGGTGGAGAAACCACCGACAGGCTCTCTAACTTTTCGAGTAGGTACAAAGGCCGATCCATCAGGATTGACCACCCTTGGACGATCAGTGATAGAGTCTTGTTTGATCGAATTAGTAATGTTGAGTTCAGAAGAAGTGGTACTGGCAGGAGGAGGAAGATCATCTGCTTTGTTACTATCGATGCGAGTTAGAATCGGAGCCTTTGGGATCGGAGTCGGTTGCCAAGCTTCTGATACATCGGTAGAGGAAGCACCAAAAAGAGACGCGATTTGTGCGCTGCCTCCTCCTACATATCCAAAATCGTTCAAATCAAGCTGGATCCTCGTAGCGATTGTGATGAACGCAAATCAACGGTGGATGATACCTACCTGGCTGTTCTCGCACCTTGCGCGTCGGAATGAAAGCAGGTAAATCTGATTGTGGCTCTGTCCTAGTTTCCGTGGGTGGTTGTTGAGAAGAGGTGGTGCTGGGCGCTTCGTCTGGGAAGGTGCCGAAGCTTGCATGCTTCGGTAATTTCTTCAACTAAAGTTCAAATAACATAAACCAGAGATCCGTCAATTCAAAAAGGATGTGCGCTAGGATGAAGAATGGAATCGCTTGCAAAAAGGTCACGAGGAAGATTTCGCGAGAACAAACCTGAGTCAAATTGGTGTCCACTTCCACCTCCAACTGTTTCAAGAACCTCACCAAAGATTCCTTAGTAAACACAATCGAGGTAGACCACGGTAAAAGACCTTTGAAATGAAGTAAAGCCAAACTGGGTTAGCAAGACTTCATGCATTGACAATCAAAACCATCGAGCTTAAAAGTCCATTACCAATCTCAGCCTGCCAGTCTCTTTCATTGCTGGAGAAATCCGGGGAAGGGACAAAGGTTTTATGATTACTCGTCGACATTTCTGTTTCAGCTGCACGCGTGGTTGAGTTTTGTTCAAGTTGTTTGGATTGAGGTTGAATGCTTTGTTTACTTTAAGAGTGCATGTGATCACAACAAGGAAAGAATGAATTAGTCGGATAGCTATAAGCATAAACTTGGTAGAAACATAGCTCGATATAAATAGACACTCTATGTATATATGGGTTTGAAAGGGTTTTCGTGACGTCAACTTTGAACTGACACCGCGGGAAGGATCAAGTTCAACCCCCGATTGAGCGAGGCTGCAGTGTCCGAGTCCGCAACTTTGCTCAATTGCGGACCTTGTTCACATCTCGTGAGGGCTATGACCCGGCCCTGACTCCGTCCGGCCCAGCCTGTCTGCTGATTTCTTGGAGACTAGCAGTACATGCCCCGGGTGAGCGGAGCAGGTTTGAAGAGCCCCAGGAGCCCCGCCACGGACTCGGGCTCCCAGGGTGGTGGCCCGTTTTTTCAAAGTGCTTCAATTTCACAGATTGCACTAACCAACAATGTGTGTCTAGTGTAAGAAATGAGTAATTCTACAACTACCTCTATGTCTCCCCGTTGTACTGGACTACCAAGCCTTTAATGGATACTGTGTTCTAACTACACGCCCAAAAAGAATGTACAGCACAATGAAAAAGCATAAGAAGAAAGAGGGAAAAATAAAATAATAGAAAATAGCATATGTGATGTTTGATGTGTTTTGGGTTTTAATGTTCTAAGTATGTTTGTAAATAAGGGAACCTTCCTGTCACTTGAATGTATTGTGCTAAGTATGGATAAACCTTTGGCGTGTCTAACAGCTTCACTGCTGAGTTCAAATCCAATTCAATCTTTTCTTCTGTCAGTTGATTCCTTTGCTCTCATACAGTCAATCCAACCCTGCAGCTGGGCCCGGTCTGCTTGGGATTGTGACTGGGTATTTTGAGGGCTGTGCAAACCCGCGGGGTCTGCCACGTTCCGTCAGGGCTGGGTCATAGCCCTACATGATCTTGTCCATATGCTATTCACAGGTTTTCCTTGAGATTTACTTTTCCTGGGTATATAAAAGAGCAAATGTCAATGTGTCTCAGCCAAGCTCCTTCCTTGCTGGTTGGTCAACATGATGCCTACTTAATAGGGGTAGAGTGAGCTTGCAGAGGCAAACAGAGCGTACAAGGCTCTTAACCTAATCAACCTAAGCCAGGATAATTAGATTAAGATTCAAGGTAGTATGTACAGAGTGCTCTACCTTGTACATGCACTAGGAGTGAATGGACATATCTGTCATCGCACCTTTGACCAATATTAATGATTAGTACAATTCACTGTCTATATCTCTAATCATTTGTCATAAACAGTCAGTGTCATTTGACATTGTTGGTGAGTGGCCTAAATGACAGTGACAGAGATGCTTCTTGGTGCATGGTGAAAGAACTGAGATGAAAGAAAGCAAGACCAGAATAATAACAAGGAAGATATCTAATGACTTGCAAGGGACTTTATGCTGTATGTACTACGTAAATATAAACATTACTCATAAAACCCAAGTACATGTACATATATCTTAGAAACATATGTAACATGTAATAAAATATGTACAAAACACTAATTACATATATACGTAATCAAGAACTAATATGTAACATATAAGATTACATACAAAAAACAATAGTGACATCTCATAACTCAGTATCAAGAGTTAAAAATGCTTATATAGCATTAATACACTTAATGATTACTGAACATAACATTAAGTGTAAGTAATTATAAAAATAATAAAATAATAATTATAAACCTAATATTGTAACACTTGTGTATATCACAATATTAGGTTTAGAGAGCTGAATATATAAACCAAAACTCAGTTCATCCTCAGAGAAGAAACCAAGTTTATACATACCAATTTCTAAAGAACTATCAAGAGTTCAATTAGAATAAATATCAAGAGTATTACAAATAGTAATACTAGTGATTCATTCTATTCACCTTGATCTTTCCTGACTAGATCCTAGTAAGTACACTTCACTCCTGGATCCTCTACTTTCCCCAAGTAGTAACAATCTCAGGTTGGTGACCTCCAAGTTAATAACCAATAGGTTGGTGACCTCCAAGTTAATAACCAATAGGTTGGTGACCTCTAAGCTAATAACCATCAGGTTGGTGACCTCTAAGTGATAACCAAGATAGTGATCTTTATAATCACCCTTTATCCTGTTACTGAAGGGATACTGGAGAACTTTGGGATCCAGTTCTCAGTATAATATCAAATTGTAAATTAAAACCTCTTCTTAAAGAGTCAACTAACTGTAGTCTGCCAGGATTTGTCCCAGCAGACTCTTAGTTGTTTAATCAACATCCATCCCTATCATCTACCTCTCATCTACCTCTCCTCCTCCATCCTTTCTTGTAATTAGTTATATCTTGAAATATAATAATAACTTATTATAATCCATCATCTACCTAGTCCTAGTACCACATTTAGTGAGAGTAGCCTCCTTCAAAAGAGTCACTACCCTCACAGTTAGGACTGGTATAGCAGAGGGTATCTTGAGGGAAACCTGTGAACTCAATGTGAACAAGTGGTGGAGAAAATTTGCAATTGAGAAAAGTTGTGGACTCAGACATCCCAGCTCATCTCAGCTGGGTTTTGAACTTGATCATTCCTGCAGTGTGATCCACTGAAGTTGTTTGACCTCAAAGTACAGATCAAGGACCTGTGTTCTTGACACCTGGAATTTAAGAAAGTCTGTTCAACTTGTGCAGGAGAGGTTGTAGAAAATCATTTGGTACTCAAAACACATAAATCTATTCTGTTCTGGTTGGAAGGGCAGAATCTGGGTATTTTTTTACCTCATTTCCAATTCAAGCTGGATTTTCTATCTCTTTGAATAAATTCATACTTTGGTTTGCTAACTCCAGTGCATATGAGTGACTCATTTCAGTTCAAAAGGTGGACATTTTCAGAAATGAACCAGAGGGAGAGAGTTTTTACTCTTCCTCAGCTCATTCTTGATCAAACCTCTTTTCCTATTGGCCTTCATCTTAAATGTAGTTGGTGAGGTTTGGCTGCTGGTCAAAAGTTAATTGTGATAAGCACTAGACTGATTATGCATTCAACTTGATGTTTTCATAGCTACAACAATTTTTTCAATGGCCAATAAAGAAATTTGGCACTGCTCTAGAAGGGATGTTGGTGGATGCAAAAAGATCTTCCACATGATGAGACAAGAAGTTGAGTTGGACAAGAACAACAGAGGAGAAGTGAGTATATTATATATTGCTTTTCTGAAAGTTATCAAAAGATTTTCATTGTGAGCAAAGTTTTCCACTAGAAAGTTACAAATTCCATAAGCTTAACTAAGCCCCTCTTCCAGCATGGCCATCTTGGCTCTTGAGGAGGGGCTTAGGACTTATACCTCAACTTTGGCCTAAGACCAGCAAGATTTTCAAGCACTTTTATATAGACTTAAAGATTTGGTACACTCCTTGTATATATATGTATAAGACATTAGAAAAATTCCTCAACAGACTACCAGTCCTATTCTTCTGGGAATAGTCTGAACTTTGTGAGTAAGTGGGGTAACACATAGGACCTGTTATACAGATTGGACCAACAAGATATGTACCACAAGTCTTTATCAACTCCAACGCCGCAAAAGATGAAGAGTTTCCAACATTTGGTGACAATTGCGATAATCTTCCAGCCACGTGAGGGCCCTAGCGTTTTGTACAATTCTCACAAGCTTACGAGTCAAAAGCAAAGCAGATGACATCAACAACACATTTCCTCAACTTGTTCACAATCATCAAGACTTGACTTACATATGACTGGTCTATCACCAAGCTTGTGAAAACACTGATAAGTGTAACCGCCATGGTTTTCACAAGCTAAATAGATGTGTACCACAAAATGGACAGGTCCATGGAGATGATTTAACCAAAGGATTTGATCAACCCAATGAATATGAACAATAAGAAGATGAAGAGACAAGTACTGACTGTAAAGACCTGGACGAAGGTAGTTGTACTTCTCGCATTTTTGGTTACTGAATCCGGAGCCATCCGGGTAAGGCACGCAATTGGACATCCAAACCCACTTATGTCCTGTTGTCGTCAAATCCACAGAAGAATCACACGTGAACATCATATATGTAAGATAGAGAGTTAGGAGACGACTCCACCAGCGTGGCCGCAAGTTTCATACGGGCAATCGTATCTTGAATACCCTTGAACATCCTGAATACAAGCTTTGTGAGAACCAGAAAACGTTGGATCAGATACAGACAATAGTCGAAATAAAAGAACAGACTCACATGCTGGGCTCCCCGGATCGAACCCACCGGGACAATCTAGGCCGCTGACTGAGCTTATCTTCATAAGAACAGACAGTGTGATGCACATCACCAATATCTTGAGGTGGGTTTTGAAAGACATCCAGTTGTAGATGGGCACGGAAAGACCGGTAAGCTGGTGGGGTACTTGCTTCTTGACTTGCCATTGGACCCGGTCTATATATTACGTCTTTCGTCCTGATATGTCCGAGACATTTGGCTGAAGGATCAGAAGATTCGGGAAGTGGAATCCATTCGTGATTTGATCGATGCCTGGAAGGCCTCAAATTTTATCCAACACCGAAATCACCGCAACAAATCAAGACCACACATCTCGTTTAGTTATGTCATCTCCTCAATTCGAGGGCGCGGCGAAAGCGCTCATGATTACCTTCTTTAGACTGGATTTATACTTCTAAGATTGATCCAATTGAAGTGAAAAGCTAGGAATGGTTCTATTTGGAAAAACTGAGCCAATAAACAGAAACAACAATTTGATTTCTCATCACACATAAGCAACAAAGCTAATACTATATCACTACTCATATGGATTGAATTAAAGATGAGAAAGCAATCCCCGATAGCATCGATAGTCGCCTGGAATTCCGATGTGAGGTGTTCAAGAGAAGGCGTTGAGGGGGGATGATCGCAGTCTTGACTTAATTTGATCAGAGATTGAGAAACATCGAACCCCAAGCGGTCAGGATCTGATGAGGAAAAAGACATGGATAGATCCATAGAGCGTCCCGCCAAATGCCTGGAAGAATGGGTTCGTGATCGTTCATCGACAGAGCCAAGTTGGCCAGACCGATCAGTGATCAAATCAACTTGATCTTTGTCAACAGATCGAGGGAGTGACATGGGACGATGCAAAATAGGACTCTCACCTCAAGCCACGTTGTTGGTGTTTTGATTGGTCAGGGAGTTACCGTCAGTGAGGATCAAGGTGCTCAGACGGGTTTTGCCACTGATAGGCATTGTGATGGCCGGCAGAGCAAGCGCGGTTCCTCATGTCAGTGAATTGAAGATGCGATTTGTAGGCGATGGATAGCAAGGGCTTTGTTAGGCTAAGGTGAATCAGGGTGGATCGCGACGACGAAACTGAGGACAACCAATAGAACCCATGTGCGTTGATGGCGGACGTGCAGAATTGGGATCATCATTGGCTGATGGCATCTCTGAGGCCATCTCTGCTCTTAGTGAATTCTGATAGTGTCTCTGACTATTGTTTGTCACTCTTGAAAGCCAATCAAACCATGTACATAGCCATCTTTTGCTGCTGCTGTGATGGTGGTAGGTTTCGCAAGATTTTATCAGGCAATTCATCTTCGGCATTATTGATAACGTTCTGTGAGGCATGTAGACTGGATGGTAGGGTTGTTGGTACTCTTGATTTATTTTCTTTCAAAGGAGATGAGAAACGGCAACCCTCCGAAGCGAAGCGGCCTTACGCATGGCAGAGTTGATACATACAACCGGCGGTGGCCGGGTCATTTTTCGCCCGAGACACTTTCGTACAATTCCAGCGATACTCCAATAATTGGAGTATCAATTTCTGAGTTACCTTGTGGATGAAGAAAGCCGTCCCGGAAGAAGGGTTTTGCCATTGAATGGTCTGTTCACTGGAGTCAACGCCATCTCATGCTTCACTTATCTGAGGACAGCCTTAGGTGCAGTCGAAGGTGTTTAAAGGCAGTCATTCACCTCTCATCAAGTACCTAACACCCAACTATTTTCTGCTTCACACCCCTATATTGACATTCACCTCCTCATATTATTATCAAGATGTTTCTTCAAAAGTCTCTACTTACGATCGTCGTCTTATTCTCTACCTTTGGTCTGGGCACTTTTGCAAAATCTTGTCGTTACTTTTTTAGTCAACAGAATGGTCAAGCCAGTAATTAACTCTTCTTTTTCCTCGCCGCCTTGATCCGACTTCACAAGTAACTTGATTCTGAATGTTTTGACTTCTCAAGTGTGCGGTGATACCGAATCGCTTAAATCGCAAACCGGATGCACTTATAAAACTTGTCACAATCCTCACGGTAGGTACTCTAAAAGAAACCAACCCTTCTTTGCATGATCAAAAACTTACCAGTGAATATTGATCTTCTGAATGTAAATCTAGGTCTTCAATTTGTGAAGATGACTGACTGCTATTGGGTTAAAGACAATTCGGGACCCAGCAAACAAGATTGTTCATATTACGAATGGGACTCTAATACCAAAGCCTACAGTGCGTCATTTCTTTCCGTTCTTCCTGTAGTATGCGATTTACCTCTGCCACTGCTGACCTCGAACTGCGGGTCAAATTTCCAGCTTGTACTAACCCGGGCTTTAATCAATATAATTGCAAGCAGTACCCAGCTAGCCAGGAGTTCATAAGTGAGTCGAACTCAAAACGCTCTAGCAAGTCCTGTTGTTGACCAGTGAATGCGTTCTTCCTTCAGCCTGCACGAAGTGCTAATAGTTTGTGGGACGCGTGCGATGATCTGCTTTGAAGCGGCATTCAGATCTTATCAAGGCTTGAACTTCTGGGATTCTGTCTGAAGAGTTCTCAAGGTTTGAAGCCAAATTCGATCCTCAGGAAATCTGCTTTACAAAACTTTGAAGACATGTCATTTGCACCCTCTGATCACCATGAATTGAGAGACATGAATAGCAAGCAGTGTGCTTGCTTACAACCTAGAGATATCAAGAGTTACTTTGAAATGATTCATGCTTCAACTTATTCCCCCCCTGTGCCGGTCGGGAGCTCAAACTTATATCACAAGAATGAAAGTCTTGGAATCTTCTTCAGAATCATGACCTGATTGAAATTTCTCTTTCAGTCCACAGAGTCTGTAGAGATACTTTTTGTTTGTTGTTCATCAAGCATTATCAAAATAAATGTTTCATCATGCAACATTTACAAAATTGTTGTGAGTCTCATTGAGCTGCATTGCTTGTTTTCAAAAGATCCAATTGAGATTCAAGACTCAAGACTATCAGCAAGATGTATCAGTTAATGACTTTACAGCTATGGTGTAAGTGCAAGTCAATCCTGGCAGGTTGAACTGCAAGTCATTTATAATCATAATGAAGGATGATTTCTTTGACAATACTGTGATTCAAAGGCAACAAGGGCAAAAGATGCCTGTCAAGTTAGAATCTGCTCAGTGGTTCATGCCTGCAGAATTGATGTTTGGAGCTGACTGCTGGGCTTTCCCTTTTCCTTTTTTTCTGAATGGCTGCACAGCAATGGCAATGCAACATGTGCATGCAAGAAAGAGCTGTACCACATTGATTGGTCACATAACACAAGAAAGCACAACTTACCCGGGGATTCCCAGAGCCTGGACAAGTATCTCTGTATTCCATTATGGAGGAAAAGCCAAGTAATGGGAGTAGAGAGGGCATATGTGAAGCCAAGGTAACCTATGGCATTAGAGGGGTCTGGGGGGAGAGTGTGAGAATGTTCACTCTGCATTCACCCACTCTCCCACCATCTACCCTCTAGCCTTCTCCTAGAACTCTTCAAGGAGACTTTTTTCTCCTCTCTCTCTTTCTTCAACTTCTTATCAAGTCTTTTAAAACACACCCACTGTCCCTGGGTCAAAAAGCTGCTAACCATGTGGTATGTTCTTAACTCAACATGTGCATTATGGTAAGGAACTTGTGGGATACCTACCAGCTTACCCCCCTTTTGCCCCCCCCAAACCACAGTCAAAATCTATTGGATTTCTAGATCTTGAGTCTTTAGTGGTATAATAGTTTGTGGGAAGAAGGATTCTCAGAATGTGATGAACATGCACAGATGATATGAGGATACATAATTTAGCCTTAGATATACTTAAAGTTATGGCACACACTCCAACTAATGAATCACATAAGAGCAACTTGATGGTGACTAGCCTCCTTGGTAATGATACATTTGATTGGGATTAAATTCAAAAAGAAGGGTTGAAAGAGCAATAGTTTTCAATTTTTTTAATTGATGGTCTGGGTCACACTTCTTTGCTGGTCCTTTGGTTGGCTTTTCTCCTCTCTTGATTTCATCATACTCTTTTATCAAAGGTACTCATCTTATGGTTTTGCAGAAGGACAAACTCATGTAGCAAGCGAAATGAATGCCATCCACCAATATCCTCTCAATGAATCAAATGTGACATTAACAAACAAATCATGTGAAAGCTTTCGATCGATGAACCATTCAACACACCATTCCGGTCAAGAAGAACAAAAACAAAGAACAAGAACTTAGCAAACATCATGAAATCAATCAAACCTTTACCAACAGATGTGATCAATCAAATCTTACAAGAGTTTATGAAACAATCAATCGAGAATGTTGAACCTAATCCAACAAGCTCAAAAGAATTATTAAAATTACGACTAATTTCAAAAGTTTGGTCTGAAGCAGTCTTAGTATTTCATTTTCAAAAGATATCCATAAATCATTCAGAACACGCAAAAAGAATATTGAATAATTGGAATCATGACTTATTCGGACCTCCTTCATTTTCTCCTGTTAAAACACTTGTGATTGAACGAATTTGGTATTCAACAGAAGATGAGAAAGTGAAAGAATCAGAAGAAGAAGGAAAAGGAGAAAAAGCAGAGATAGAAGAGTTAAAAGAAGATGATGGAGATTCAGAATGGGAAGATGAAGAGTCAGAGAAAGGTAATGGTAAGTTTTTGACGGTTGGATGACATAAAGCATGCTGAAGTGCTCACTAGACCTTTCCTCGATGGCTACTTCAGATCATAAACTCTTACCGCCACTTTCAATGAGTCAAGTAACACGATTAATCGATTTACTTGGCTCCAACTTGACCACTCTGACCCTCCGCTTTGTCAGTTGCATGGGAGTTTCTCTTGATTTACTCAAAGCTATCGGAACGATTAAAGATTTGAAATCATTAACTCTTTTATACTCGTATCACGATTTGAAAGGTGGAGCTTATGATACGAATTCGATATCTGATTTACTTTCTGCGATACCTCAACTTGAAGTCTTAATCATTCATCCTAGTTCAATCTTTGAGGATTTAGTTTTAAAACCTCCAGCCTTATCGAACTTGCGTCATCTTTCATCTACCTATGGTGATGATCTAAAAGGTCTCTCTAGTATTACTCAATACTCAAAAAACACTTTAAAAAGTATTCAACTATTTCCGACTAGTGAAGATCCTGGAAGCCTAATTGAAGTATTGGAACCGGTTAAAGATACATTAGAAGGTCTTTTTACACTCTCATTTACCGATCAAATCAAGGAAGATATCACGAATCTTAAGTTTCCAAAATTAAGAGTTCTCGCTTCTCAACATTGTCCTGGACATTTTATGCGAGAGATCGATTGGTTAAACGTACCAATGTTAAAGAATCTTAGAACGGTTGTTACCGACTTATTTGCAAGTGAAGAATCATGGTTAGATGCATTAAGATTTGCTGGTGGAAACGCTTTTAAAAGTTTACCGAATGTTAAATATATCTTTTTTGTTGGAAATCCACTTTTTAAACACAAAGGGATTAATCCTCATTTAGTTAGGTTCCTTGATGCAAATGGAGTCCAATCTCGTCTTGTAGAGGATTCCTCTTGGGATAAAACTATGGTGTGTGATGATTTCTTTTTACAAATGTCGATCTCACCCCAATTGGCTCAAAAGTAAAGGGTTTGAAGATTCATACTGATACCTTGATTCCTTCATTTATCAGGAACTGGACTATAAACTCAATGGTCCAATGAACTCGTAGATCATCAAGTTCACTTACTACAACTTTTCTAAAATCTATAAACCCGTCTCAATGTTCAATATATGAATTCTAGCAAGTCCGAAGAATACACAAAACCCATGCAAGAATTTAGTAAATTCCCTTCAGTTAAATCAGTTAATCAAAATTCAATGCAAAAGTTTGATTAGAATTCGTTGTTTGTTTTTGGTGAAAACTTTCAATTTCGTTCCTTCATATAATGTCTTGTCACTTCTTCCTTGGTTTTAAAGAAACCCGAAGCAAAAAAAGTTGTACAGCCTTGATTGTATTTGTTTGATTTGAATAAAGCAATCCAGATTGTATTGTAATCGAAATGAAGCTGGGATCTGGTTCGTCAAGATTTCATTCTTAACACCATTTTTTTGTTACATTTCGTAACGAATTTCAGAGTAATTAACTGAGAGGAAGGATATTGATAGTAGTTGATTTGAATGTTCTCAGCAGCTGCTCAACGCTTTCATTAACTTTTTATCGAAATGCTCAAAATTGTAGTTCTAAAGAAGTAATTCATCTCTCAAATAGCAACTCAATTCAAAGTCATACGATGATGAATACAATGGATTACCATCAAAGGTCATCACTCAAGTCTTACGAGAATTTGTCAAGAAGTAACCAAAAAAAAGTTCAATTCGATCATTCAACCGCTACCGAACCTTACCTCAGAAAATCGTCGTATACTGAACTGATCAACTTGAGATCAATTTCAAAACCCTGGTCGACAGCCGTTATACGATTTTATTTTGAAACGATCGCTATAGATAAAACCAGACGTGCAAGATTGATAAGACAATTGGAATGATGACTTCATTTGACTTCATTCTTGTTGTCATGGTAAAAAACCTTACTATTAAAGAACTATGGTATTTTCAGAAAAAGAAGGTAAGTCATTCAAGAATGTCGATGATTTCCGTTTTTGTCATAATTCTCTCAAAAAGGCTTTCTGGAGTACTATCAACTGAAATTTCTTTAACTTTTCCTCCTTCATAGGTATATCTAAATCACCTTTGGGTTCAGTGAATCAATAGTCAAAATCGATGGAATTCGTCTGTAAAAATCTAAAGACTTTAATTTTATAAATTCTTCAGGAAGGAGCTTCTTCTTAATGAATTGAGGCTTTTAAAATAACCCAAAAATTAACATCATTAGAATTTCATTTAAATACAATTGGAAAATCAGGATTTGGAACTTACAATCCAGACTCGATATCAAGATTACTCTCAGCATTACCACAACTCGAATGTTTATCATTCCACTATGACTCGCGAACTAACATCGGATGAAATTGTGGCTCGTTCAAAACGGTTTATTGGTATATACCACACATATCATCTCTTATGTACTGATTTCTTCACGTGTTTTGCAGGAAGTAGATATCAAATGCAATGGTCCAATTGCACGAGTCATAAAATTTACTCAACACTCGTTAAAAACAAACTTTTCGAATATCTTTGTACGATTTCTAACCAATTGCAGTTTCTTGAATAACTGAAATTAAAGCAATGATAACATTCAAACATCTTTATTTGGATTCTTTAACGTCTGTGCAAGAGCTGTGGTGAACAATACTGTTAGTGTCATCTCCACTCTGATCATCAGACAAATTCCCATTGTACCCATTACACATTCCACTCAGAAGGTCAAAGCACTTGAGCACATAGATAAGGACTTGGTTCAGATCATTTGTGGATAATGTTAACCTCTAATCCATCTAGGCTCAGATAGGGCTCTTTTTGCTGCTGTTTAAGTTGAATTTTTTTTCGCGGTATGCAGGTTTTTTACCAGATATTATTTTCTTGGGATTGGATGATGATATCAAACTTCACTTCAATGGTCTTTGTCGAAGCAGACTCATTGAAAAGTACTTTTCTTTCTGATTTGCAGAGCAAAACTTTTGAAATAGCACTTTCTTGGGTATTCGCAGAACACAACTTGAGATTCAAACTCATGTTTTCAAATCAGGTACCAAGCAAACGTTTAGTATTGCAACTTGGTGTTCGATATGCGCATCAAATGGTTGAATGATTTATAATTTTTAAAGGATGGAAAGCTATCTCCTTTAACAATCTTGAAATAAATCTGTCCATTGGGTCAATAATCAGGAACATGGTCATTTGGCACATCCTGGAATTCTGATGTTGACCATCAACTGATTTTGTGGATTTCAGGGTACAAGAAACGGCCTACGTTGGATGAAGTATTCGATTCCTTCCTCTTCCTTAGACATTTATTGCCTTTGACATTCACCACACATTTCTTGATATTATATCATTATCGATTTTCAATTTAAACAATATATCACAGTCGAGATATTTCTATAACCATTACAACCTATATCATCACAGTTTCTTATCTTGTTTCTTGAGTTGAAGGGTTTATTCATCTTATCGGTTTGCATCAGCTCGATCTCCTTTCGACTTTATCTTTCAACTTTAACGCCTCAACTTTACCATCATGAGCTTCTCCAACGCTTCCCATGACTCGATCTCTGTTCAAGAAGCTTCTCGTAAACGTACCTTTGATCATGTAGAGGTTGGTAATCTTCGTCACTTGTATTGTGTTCGAAGCCTGATTTTTACCAACATTGTCTCGATGTTTCATTCCTTCAATTCTAGGACTCCGTTCACGCTCCCAACCAGACTCCCAGGGCTCATATCAAGCGTGCCCGAGTTGCGCCACCTCAACCTCAGATTTGGACATACGCTCAACCTCAAAACTTGATAAACCATAGCACAGGAGTGACACCGAGCTATCAAAACACCCAACATTTCGCGCTGGGTATGTATGCTGGCAGTAGGGGATCTCTGGTGCAAGGATTGTACCCAAGAAGTGTCGAGGTAGGTAATCTTCTTACCTCAAGTTCAACTACCTTCCAAACCTGATTCCCACTAACATTGTGTAAAAAAATCTTCTCAACCTTTAGAATGCGGTCTGCTTTCCTCATCAGACCCGCATGGCGTACATCAACAGTACCCAAATTGCACCACGTCGAGCTCAAAATGTATTCCATACACAGCCTCAAAGGTTGGTGTATCACAACACAGGAATGACGACGAGTACGCAAGACTTCGCGCCGGGCATGTCTGTCGGCAGTAGGAGAGAGGTGGTACAAAGTTCTTATCAAACTATCAACGTATGTGACCGATCTTTGGAGTGTTTGTACTCATCCTATTTGATCAGAGTCTCATCTATTCTTATCAATTTATTTCATCATTAGTACCAGACCAGGGCTAGGGATGAAGAATTCGAGGCGTTCAAACTGAAGTTGGCATTGGAGTTATTGATGTCGCCTACATCTACAACTCCTGTTTTGATGAACGGAAGTCAATGTAGCCCTTCAACCTCTTATCCTTCGCTCCCTTCATCACGTGACCCATCGCCAACGGTGCCATTTAGGCATGTGGCATCATATCCTCATGATCGGCCTTCCAATCCAGCAATAGAGAGGAGAAACCCGATGCCTCGGTCATATGGTCATGAAGTTCTGTATGGCTCATTGGAGTCTCAGATGATTTCTCCTACTTTGATGAATGCACATCAAAGTATCCTTACTACATCTCAACCTTTAATTCCGGCGTCACTCGCACCATCTCAAACTGAACCACCCGAGACGACGGTATTTTCATCTCATCGGACATTTGGCCCAGTCATAGAGCGTGATTATTCAATGCCGTTGCTTTACGAAAATTTACCGACGGCAGTTCCATACCGGTTGGCGTAATCTGAGAACATCGAAGCAAACAAAGGGAGAACACAAGGTTGAACAGAATCTACTTCAACTAACCCATCCGAACTCTCAACAAGAACAAAATGAAAATAGAAAGATAATGGGTGATCTTAATTCAGGAGTTCTTTTCGTTTGACAGATATCCTCTTCCACCCTCATGGTAGCTTTTTCTTTTTTTCTTCTCCTCGCGCTACAGACTGAGTTCATGTTTTTTGAAGTGATAAGTTGTACAATGATGTAGAAGTGTTTCTGTTTCAATTTTTTATCTTAGTTGCCTCTTGAACAAATTTTTCAGTTATTTTCATTTCTGTTTTTTCCCCAACTTACTCTACTGTGTTCTTTTCTAATAGTCTTTGTACTCAGTGATGTATCAAACATTAGCTTTCGTTTTTGAATAGTAGATAGCCTTTGTCTTGGCATTTAATCATTATCAGATCTTCTTTTGTAAACATAGAGTATTGCATTAAGATACTCTTCATGACTTGCTGTTAAGTTGACTAACTTACCGCAGGATACTGCTCGGAGCTTCTCTTTGTTTGAGCACACACAGTTGAACTTTTTAAACTCGGGTTGACCTTGTTAATCTATTCTGATGATGATGGACTTCATGTCAAGCAGGGGTACTGGAGCGCTTGACTTTAAGGCTCAGAAAGCTCTATAGGATAAGCGCGCCCCATACGCCTAATTTGGGGCGCTGACCACTTGCTGATTAATGTCTGTGGTTTCGCTTATCAGCATATCCTACAACCTCTCCAGTTGATCTCAACCAGAGGCAATTTGAGCAAAACCTACGTTGGGTTCCAAGATTGTCGTTGTCATATCTGCATCTGAAAACTTAGCAAGTTGATACAATCGTCCGTTATCTCGATAAGCCATCTCCGTCAAGCATCTCCAAAAACAATATCCATTATGCCCTTGATCAGGAACATCCAACGGCCATTTTGTGATTTCAATGTCAACTAATCTATCAAATTTTTCATGATCAGATTTAGAATTTGGGGTACAAACTAATGAGATGTTGCTATTTGAACAGAGTGCTTCTTTTCTTTCTCTTACTCTTCCTCAGCACATTTACCGTCAACCTTCACCTTGCATCTCTTGATCTCGAACCATCAATCATACCTTTAAGCATCAATTTCTTGTTTTAGCTCTTGGGTTCAAATTTTCAATCAAATCATCACTCGAGATCGACTCTCTTTCAAGTGTTTCTTTTAATCTTCATTTCCTCCCTGCTTCTACTTACCACCATGAGCTGCTTCGACGCTTTCCTTGATTCTATGTATGGTAAGGAAGTCTCGAGGAAACGTCCCATTACTCATGTCGAGGTAGGTCATCTTCGTAGCTTATAAGATCATATTCAATGATTAAATTTTATCAAACTTATCTCAACGTTCTCTTGCCTCAATTCTAGAAGTCTGTCTGCGTTTCGAATGCCACTTCAAGGGCTAACATCAAGCGAGCCAGGATCACACAACCTGAGATTCGATCATCAACTCGTTCCAGGCCGGAGAAGACGATGAGTTTGGAAGAATTTGTAATAGATATGTACACCGGCAGAGACATGGTCCTGAAGTCATCTCCACGAAAGGTCAATGTACGTAACGTAACATATCTCTCTAATTTTTCACCTTATCCTATGTGGTCAGATCCTGATCTACTTCGGTCTTTATCCCGTGATCATCAAACCTTAGGAACCGAAGAGATACACTGAAGGCGAGGCGTTGAAGTTGGCATTGGAGTTATTGATGTCTCCTCCACCAGCACCCCGGACTTCGATCAATGGAACAAGTAGTCCGACTTCCACATACCCTTCAGTATCATCATCACTCAACCCATCACCCACCGGACCACAGAAGGAGAAGGCTGTTTACCATGAATCATTGAACCCGGTCATGGAGCCTAACAGATCAATTCCTTTGTTGTATCTCACGGAGCCGGAAGAAGATCCATACTGGTTGGCAGAAGTATGCGAGGCAACAAGGGAAGACTTCATGGATGAAACATTACTGAAAGTACCAAAATCTCAGGTACTCAGTCGTACGCCAGTTCAACCAAACACTTGGTAGTTCTTTCTTTTTCTCTTATCAGTTTGAGTTTATGTTTCTTGCAGTTCTAGGCAGGATAGAGTACAGGTGTTTTGACTATTCATTTGTAGTTGTTCTTGAATAAAATCTCCTCTTTGGCTTTCTTTTTTTCCATCTCTTGCTTTCTCAATCTCGTCTGCGGTGTTTCTCTTCTAACAGTATCAGTTCTCAGTAACGTATGAAAAGACTAGCTTTGAATTTTTTAGTTGTAGTTTGCTTTTATCTCGTCATTTTAGCATTATCAGAATTTTGTTTGTAAAAGATCGAGTATTGTATTATGATACTTCTCATGGACATCAATGTTAAGATGAATAAGTACATTCACAACACATCGAAGGGTACTGCACACGGTGCAAATCCTTCCTTTTTTGATCTTGACCAACAAGTGTGGAAAGGTCAGTTAATAGATTCAATTATTAGTCTCACTCCTCACCTGAATGAAAATATCTCAAATGTATACACCACAAACCCTGTGTTTTGGTCTACAAATGGTGGCTTAGCCCCAGTTAACCCACCATTAAGTTTTGCAGGTGAGGTACATGAATAAAACACTCAAGTCTACACTGTGTCAAACCTGGTGTTATTGACATTAGTGGTGTTCAAAGTTGAACCGGTTTCAAAAACCCCGTTCAACCCAGCTGACTTTCTGGCCGTGAGCTGTCAACAAATGTCAACTTGAGACACCAAGTTACTGCCAAAAAGCAACTGGGTCAACTGGATTTTCTTGAAACCAGTTCTACTTTGAGCACCACTATTGGTTTAGTATCTCTTATTTTTGGGCTTGCCAATGCGGGAAGAATGACTGGTTGTGCAACTTGAGTTAAATCACACTGCCCCTAAACTTAGCAAGAGTCCCATGCTTGCGCATACTTGCAAGGCATTAAGCAAGGGACTTACAACAAACCTGTATGCTCCATAACCTGAGAAATGCCCCTTAATTTTCAGGGAGCAATCTTGCAAACTCTCTACACTTTTCCCTACCAAAAAAAGTTTTGGTCTGGACCAAAGACAAAGGTTGTTCTTTCTTGTGCACAATGTACCATAATTTTCCTCCAAGGGTTCAAAATATTTCCTCCTTTCAACAAGAGCCAAAGTTTCTTTTCTCACTTTAATTGTATTGTTTTGGACCAGACCCAGCATTCTGAGTAAATGAAGAATTGCAATAAATCATCATGTAGTCAGATATGCAGTCAAAGGATGGATGTTTTGATTCATCTCCAATAATTGCTACAAGCATGAACAGACAAACAAAGCATACTCCAAAAGAAGAAGCTACAGTGAGCACATCACATCAGGTTCAGTGAGACCATTCACAGTTGTCAAAATGCTTAAGAGGTGTTTGAAACCTCTTCACACCAGAGGCTTCCTCATAAGATAGAGGTTTCTTACCTTTCCAAGCTCCGCAGGGGACTTAGTTAAGATTGTGTGAGTTGGGTGTAAACCATATAAAGCCAATGTACTTGGACCTTGCAGCAGTGACACATCAGTTGCTACATGTTACAGGCAAAGTGAGAAAAGAAATGTTGGCATCTGTTTAGAGGAGGAAATATTTTGATTCCTCAGGGATAAGTTAATGTACATTGTGTGCAAGAAGGAGGAGAACAACTTTTGTCTCTGGTCCAGACCAAAATCTTTGGTAGGGAAAAGTGTAGAGAGCTTGCAAGATTGCTCCCTGCCAAAGGGACATTTCTCAGGTTATGAAGCATACCAGCTTGTTGCAAGTCCCTTGCTTGACGCCTTGCAAGTATGCACAAGTGTGGGCCTTTTGCTAAGCTTACACTGCCCCATTGGTGCTAAACCCAGGTTTTTTTCCAAATTTCATTTTCCAATTGATTCTCCGCTGTTGGAAACAGCCGTTGTATGTCTTGTGTTTTGAATAATCTGGAACAGCGTAATGAGAGAAAGAGGAAAGGTTTGGGTTTATATTTCACTTATCAAATAGATAAACAGGAGAGAAGAGGTAAAAGAGAAAGTTTCCTACCTGGAACATTATAATGAGAGACAGAGGATAGGTGAAGAAGAAGCCAACTTTCCTCCGCTGAACCAGGCAGAATATATAGCAAAGTAACAAGTTGAGCTATCACAGAGACAATGGAAACAGAAAGTCTTGCAGGACTTGACAGGCCAACAGGTAGTCTTGCAGAACTGAAATCAAATAGTACATTTGTTACACAGGACATATTTCATAATTTCACATAGGACTATCTCAACAGTATGGATGACCAAACGTATGATGAATCCCAAAGAAATATAGCAAGCCAAAACAACAAATGACAGCAATGACACAATAAACCCTCTAACTCCACTTTAAGCTGCCTCCACCTCAACTGCTTCATGTACTCCCTCATCTGGGGCTAGACCAATCCCACAAGTTTTGTCCAACTCTTGCGCAGTGGCCTGGATGCGCTCCTCTGTGGGCAAAGCAAAATTGGTGCTTTCCTTTTGCCATCTATCTGGTTGTGATGGGCTTCTAATATCAATACATAAAACCTGATAGGGAAATTATGTTGAGTTATTGGTTATACTGAAAATAACAATAGAATTTCAGACACACACATAACGGTATTGGTGGGACCTGTTGCCAAAACATTCCGATTTTTTGTCCACAATATCCCAGAAGCTTTGATTGAAATAGAGGTCACAATCCAGGCCTCAACGATTGCATTCTCTGGTTTGCAGAAGAATGAAAATCAGTAAAAGTCTACCCAGGAATCTTCACCAGGGGCAACCCTAGGCCAGCAATGCAGGTGTTGCATGCTGCACTGCGCCTGCATTGCGGTTACTCTGACCGCACCACAACATAGAATCAAATTCTAGGTTGGTGCCCAAACCGCCGCGCAACAAGCACCATCAAATTGATGGTTTTTTTGGGCCGCAACAACATTTGTTGCATTGCTGCCCCAAAAATTACAATTTGACGTTTTTTTTGCGCTGTTGCGCCTGTTGCGTTGTGCAACGGTCAAGGCGCCGCGCAACCTGACCTCACCTTTTGTTGTTGCGGTACTTACCACAAAGCAGTGTCTAATGCTGATTTTTGTTGTGTGTTGCGGAGCAATGCGCCAAAAAAACACGCGTGCTGCGGCGCGGTGCGTTTCTGGCACAGGGTTGTCAGGGGTAGAATGTCCACTGACCAACCATGCATACCCAGTTCAAGCATTATCCATGTGTTCTAAGATTTCTTTTTGGACTGGGACACATCCACCCAGTAGACCTTGTTCTTTTTGGCAGAGCTGTGATTTATAAAATGTGAGCAATGTGAGATGGTGTCCATATAGAGGGGGATTTAATTTGTTTACTTCACAATGGCTGTATCAAGTACAGGCATGTTTGCTTGTGAGTCAACTGGGGAGCGTGACATGCGTTAAGAACTGAAAACCCCATGTCAGTTAGGAAAATTATTGATTCAAGAATCAAAAGGACTCACAATATCAATGCCCACCCAACCACTTGAGTGCCAAGGGCTGGGATGGTAAGATAAAATATCAAGAGTGCTTCATCAATCCTGATCTTGCCCGTGATAGCCTGAATCCCTGTCCTGGTTGAAAGCATGTTGTTTGAACTTGTGTAGTTTTTTTGTTTAGCCGCTCCCCTTGCAAGCAAACATCACTTTACTCTGCAGGGAAGGACGTTCAACATAACTTTCTACATAATCTTGTAGGCTAACATCATAGACACTCTGGTCGATGCGGCCAAAAATTTGATGTCAACATTACTACGGGGTAAAGTGATGTTTGTTTGCGAGGGAAGCGGCAAAACAAAAAAAACTACACAAGGACTCATAATCCGTGGAGTGTTCACGCCAAAACCAATGATCGGTCATAAGCCCCTCCGGACGCGGCCGCGCCGAGAGGGGTTTATTAAGCTTGAGAAGCTTACACCAGGGGGTAAACCTACGGCAAGAAAACGGTTTTCGAAACTGTTTTCCTGCCGTCACGGTTTTGAACTATTCGTGTCGTTTCTGAGACGATTTCAGATGGGACCGCACAAAAGCGGTTCCCATCACCGTTTTTGGCGGTGCAAGCAAACCACCTCGGTGACACCTAAACACGGTCCCTGGAACGTTCCGAGGGTACGCCGTAGATTTGCCAAAAGAAAAAAGGAGCAATGGGTCTTGAACCCAGGCTCAAAACCAAGAAAAGGTCCTGAGCACGGCCACAAAGCGTTTCACCGCTACACCATAAAGACCACACTGTGAGCACCATTTGATCAGAACAAATAACGTGGTGATAGGTAAGTCGTGTTATCATCAATGCTGGAATCGGAAAGAGAATTCGTACCGAAGAATTAGACGGTCCGTTTGACATATGATTACAAAGCGTTCGAGCAAGATTGGATGAATTTTTCTTGAGTTCTCAACCTATCTTCCGAACTCATACCAGCATGATAGACACCAGCTTCGTCTAATTCTCTCCTACGCAAAAGTTGTACCAAATCTTCTGCATCACTTGGGTGGTCACATAAACAATTGCTCCACCTGTACGCCGTTGCAGCATGGGTATCAAGACTAAAAGTTTTTCTTCTGGAGTTGTGGCAACCTCCACTTTTAAGGTGAGATTCTTTTGATAAGTTGATGTCTTGAATAAACCAGTGTTGTAATCTATTGAGAATCCAGCACAGATCTAGATACAATCAAGATAGTCAAAGTGTGTAGCAAATGACCAGTCTGATGATGAACAACTTTCCAAAGCTGGCCTAAGGCTACAACCATCAGCGATGTTCGATTGCTCGCATGGTAACTCACAAAAACAACTTGCACGTTAAGTCGTCGTTGCTGAAGGTAGTTCGACACCGATTGCAATCGGTGTCAAAAAGACCGCTTCACCACCGCCTCAGGAGCCGTTCTCAAACAGTTGCTGACATGCAGCTCGTTCCAGAAGCGGTGGTGGAACGGTGTCCGAATCGGTTTTGGCGAAACCGGTTCCACACCTTCCTGGGCGGTTCAGGTGACAAAACCTTTGAAATCGTCACAGGAACCGGCCGAGGCCGAGGACATTACCCCCTGGTATACAACGTTTCAGTAAAATTTCTTAATGTCCTCGGACTTATCCCTCACCTTTTTTCAGTTTCGGAGGTCAAGAAAGACAGCCAGTTATCAAACAAACATGCTTTCAACCAGGACAGGGATACAGGCTATCACGGGCAAGATCAAGATCGATGAAGCACTCTTGATATTTTATCTCACCATCCCAGCCCTTGGCACTCAAGTGGTTTGGTGGGCACATTTCTCCATAGGATATTCAGGCCGGAGACGATCTCACTGAAAGTCTGCTACAAACAGGTCGACCGAGATGGGCCAAGCATCTCCTTACCTACTTTCGCTCGGGATGTCTAAAAGTGGAATTGCAGTAGTGTTCTTAGCTGGACCATTGAGTGGTAAGATTCGAGACGAATACTGTTTTTCTTTCCTATCTCGTTCGACTTCAGGCTGATCAAAGCTAGTGTGGTCATTTTCATAGGACTGATCATGCAACCTATTGTCGGTTGGCATCCAATTCTCCAAGACTCATTCTCATGAATCACCAATTCTTTCTCACATGATCATCTCGATCCGCTTACTATTGAAACGAAATCGTAGGAATCTATGCCGACAGCTGTAAGCATCGTTTAGGCCGTCGGCGACCATTCATGATGCTTGGAGGTCAATTTAATACTCTTCTCTTGATAAAGATAACAATCCACATGTACCTGATGACCGACCCGTCTTGGCTTCTTAGGTCTTGTCACGGTACTGTCGATCATCTCCTTTGTTTGGGCTCGCGAACTGGTCGGATTTGTTATTGATATTGGATCTGATTGGGTACTTTCTTCTGCCTTTGCACCCTCTCTTTCCCTAAGAGGTTCGATCGCTTGAATAACTACTAATGTACGAAAATACATATATAGCATCGAACCATCACCATCTGGCTGGCTGCATTTGCATTCTATCTGATGTCAGTGACACCATCTTTTCCGCAACGTATATATCCGTAAAGGAGATTGGCTCCGCGTAGGCGAAATATCGATCTATCCAATGATATCACACTAACTTGGCTTTGTTCGGGCTTAATTGTACACAAATAGGGATTTCTCACTGAATGTTGTCATGGTCACATCCCGATGCCTGATTGTCGATATCCTTTCATCCGACAGACAGGCTATAGCGAATGCTTACTACTCTCGCATAGCCGGAATAGGCGCTGTATCACTCTACTCTATCTCCGAAGCGAATTTACCAAAGCTACTGAACAGCTCGTCTACTCAACTCAAACTGATCACAATGATGTGCACTGCAATCTTCATCATCACTCTATCTATCACCTGTATGATGGTTCGGGAAAAACCTTTACAGATTACAAAGACCTCAGTTCCAAAGCTCTTAGAGATTTATCACAGATTATATCAGGCTTGGGTAAGACTCGGAGAAGACAGTAACGTGAAGAGGATTTGTTGGATCACGTTTTGGTCATCGATCGGTTGGTTTCCGGTTTTATTTTATTCGAGTACTTGGATCGTGGAGATATGGACCATGACCACCAAACAACAAGATCGAGAACAAGCAACCAGGATAGGAAGTCAAGCTTTGTTATCTCAATCAATCGTTTCTTTGATCGCAAGTATAATTCTACCAATTTGGTTCAAAGGAAGTAGGCAATTGGCAAAATTATGGATGTCGGCTTTGTGTCTGTTAAGTATAATGTTAGTAACTAGTTGGGTCTGGGCGAAGGAGGTTCGCTTAGCCAGTGGAATGATAGGTATTCTTGGAATCAGTTGGGCTGTGACACTGTGGGCTCCAAGCACTTTGGTACGTCTTTTTGAAACTGATATATGCCCCTAAGAATGATTGACGAGTAATGCCTGTACTGATTTAATTGATGATTTTCTATCCTTCTTCCACGTTAACTTTCAAAATATTGAAGCTAGCACAAGAGATATTGGATGATCCAATTGATCCGCATACCGTTATTCCTCTGAACCAATATCGACCTTCTTCGACCCATGTGCACCCCTCATCAAACCCAATACATCATGTGGATGATGATGAATATGAGGGTCTGCTAGATGACCTTCAAGGATTTGATCATCCAGCGACTGATGAGAATCTGGCTGGTACCATTTATGGAATTCAAAATATATTTGCTGTAATACCTCAATTGCTAATCAATCTCTTTGCATCTGGGATTTTCAAAATTGTGAAAAAAGATAATGATGGTCCTGGAGGTATTACAATGGTATTTGTGTGAGTTTTTTTGTTCTATGTGGATTAGGTGTTCCTACTGATCAAAATGGCTCTTTTGACAATTAGCCTCGGAGGGTTTAGTGCTGTAGTCTCTGCTTGGGGTTGTTGGAAGTTGATTGGTAAGATACATCCAAAGCAACTGGGAAGAGTTTGATCTGAGTGAAAAAATGGGTGTCATGTTTCTCTTCCTTGAAGATACATCAGGGCAGATTGCAAGAAGTGAGGTTATGATTGAGTGTCAGGAGAATGTATTTCTCAATTTTCTACGTACCTTCTTTTGTATTATATGGATAGTCATGGATTTGGATTTGGATCAGGTTGTGGCTCTGCTGTATGTATTGTATAAACCTGTGAAGCCCTGCCTTCCACGCCCAACGTTAGCTGAAGGTTTCAATGCACTGATCACTAGTTTTGTTGCAGTTCATTGTGCACTAGGAGTGAGCTTCTAGATACAAGAATAGGTTACAAAGACTTGTGACATGGCCATGACAAAGTATATGCAAGCCATCTCCATTGCTTGAGGTTTGCACTCTTGTGCCAACTTTTCTGCAAAATTCTTTCATCACCTTTTCAAATAATGAAGAAACGGTTTACGTTCATTGATTATTTAAAATCTGGCGGATGATCTTAACCTTCAGTTCTTCCCACTTCTTTACTTCTTTACTGAAGGAAATGAAATGCTTCTCCAAAAAGTGTTCTCAGCTTTCAAGATCTACTTTTCATATGATCATTGTTATGATTCATATATAACTTTGGTTCCACCTGCCTATCCCTTTTTATGTTACTTTGTAATACTTTTTTAGTCTGCCCCATAGTGGACCTTTTGATTGCTTTGAGTCAGGTGCACCGTATATAAATTCTATACCACTACGACTTGTTCTTATATGCACATGCACCTAGGACTCTACACCCTGATTCTGGCTAAAAAATCTTATCATGAGTTTTAGCTCAAACCATTCCATGGAGCCGCAGACACTTTGAATAATATCAGTACCCCTACTTGTGACCCTAATGTGATGGATATACTGTCCTCATTCGTTAGATTATCCAATGAAGAGAAGGCTAGGAGATTGAGGACTTGCTCTTGATTTCAATGCTCCAAAAAAGGTCACCAAGCTAATGACTGTCCAAACCATGGAAAGAAGGGGAAAGATATGTATAGTGCTAAGATTGCTGAGTTAGCGGGAATATTAGCTGCTTTAGGAGGAAGAGATGGTGATAAAGGAGAGGGGATTAGTCATGCTGATGAATCAAAAAATGGAGGCCCTCGAGCCTGAAGGTTGTGCCTAGCTTGAGGTCAAAGGACATTAGGGATAATTTAGAAATTGGAGCTAGGGCAATTGTAACCTGCAAAAGTGACAATCCATGTCTGTTTATGCCTTTCTCATTTCATTTGTCCCATCTCCCATGCGCCACACCACTTAAAATTTCACCAACCCACCTCCTCATAGACTCTGGGGCAACTCATAATGTTCTTGGAGAAGCCTATGCCTCAGGAGCCGGACTCCTGCATTACACAGTGTATACTTCAAGAGATGTGACTGGATTTGATGGATCCAGGACAACATTGTGTTATGAAATTAACCTCACTATAGACCAAGATCCAACCCACTCACACTTCATCATTACACTGATTAAGAACACTTAGGACAGAACTTTAGGTATTCCTTGGATCAAGAGCAATCACCACAAGATCAACTGGCTACAAGGCACAGTTAATTGAAGATGATTTCTAAATACAGCAGCAATGTCAGACCCACCACCAATGTTGCCACCCTTGTCACACACCCACCAGACAGACACTAGCCCGCATTGTGGCTGTACCTAAAGCCTTGTCATCTCCAAAAACCACCCCTACGGACCTAATAGGATGTCATAAGGGGAAAGCTATGACATTTGACAAGGGGGCATGTATCAGTCTTGATACATTATGGCCCCCACAATTTGGGTGTGACCTGTTTCCTGTTGACCCTGTACCCAAAATAGCTGGCAAGCCCCTTTGAATCCTAGAGCTTAACCCGGACAACACCATACACACAATGCATCTGATAACGACACAGGAATTGAGTACACACCTCTCAAAGAGGAACTTACAACCATTGTGGCTGTGTCAACAGTCTCATCATATCCACAAACCACCCCTATCAACTCAATGAAGGACCATATGGGGCAAGTTAGGACACCTGACAAGGGGGCACATATTCTTTTAGATAAACCATTGCCCCCGCAATGTGAGTTTGATGTGCTTTTTATCAATCCCTTACCTGAGACAGCTGGCAAGCCCCTTCCCCTCCTAGAATTTGTATCAGACTCAGCAACCAACGTCAACCACACCGACCCAAGAACAAGACCCAACTGATCTAGTGATGGAAAAGGATGACCATGCGGCTGTGAAAGCAGCCTTGGTTAGATAAAAAACTTGGGATACAATTACATCCAACACGCAAACCCCCCCGCCGGGGACTGCGACTGCGCTGCGACAGCGTTCACAGTGTAATTTTACTAGTCACTGGCAGGCCAGTGAGTTCCATTCACCTCAATCCAATCTCAATTCAATGTCAGTTCAATATCAGTTTGATGTCCAATTATGTTTGAGTGGGGGGTATGCATGGGCTGCATAATCTCTCAAACCTTGCAGACATTCTGACACCTTCATGTGTGGACATGCAACCGAACTTTATTCCAGTTCATTCTGGAAGGTTGTTTGTCTGCTACTCTAGGCCAAACATTGAGATTGGATTGATATTGAACTGACATGGATTTGAGATTGGATTGAGATTGGATTGAGCTGGACGTACTCACTGGCCTGCCAGTGAGTAAAATGACACTGTGGTTGTGGTCGAGCCGCTGTTGCAGTGAACCAGACAGCCCCTAAGGTACACCTGGGACGCCGCGCGGGGTTGCCTGCGGTTTTCCCGGGCCGCTGTTGCAGTGAAAGCACCGCAGGGGGTACCCTGCGACACAGCGAATATGTTTTCTATAGTTATATTTTATTATACTTTCTTTAGTCGAATTCGTATTAGGGCAGTTCAAGTTTGGGTTTTAAGGCACATTTTTACGTTTTAAGACATGCTCGATGTCCTTAAACCAAAACACATAATTTAAGACCACCGAGCCACCTCTCGAGGTGGCTCGGTGATTTATAAATTATAAGTTGACTTATAATTTATAAGTCTTTTGGCTCATAGACAAAAAAATCGGGTGAGAGCAGGTGAGAAACAGTTCAAAGACGTTCACCTGCCCTCTCCCTCTCCCATACCCTTTTCCACCGTCTCTTTCTCTGCCATACCCTGTCTCAACCGTCTCTTTTTCTGCCATACCCTCTCCCGATCACCCCTTCCTTTCCAATTTCACTTTTCAATCACCTCATCCTCATTCACTTTTCGATCACCTCATCCTCACCTCATCCTCCTTTGCTTATCGTGTGGTCCTCAAATCCAATCCTCATTTCACTCTACAAATCTCTATCAGCTTCAATTCATCATCCTCTTCGTACACAACTCTTTCAATTCAAACTCTTCAATCAGCTCATCTACACAACCAATCCCCAATCTCAATCAATCACCTTCTATCTCTATTGACTTCAATCTGAATCAGGATCTGACTTAATCAAATCAATCAAATTAATCAATTCAATTCAAATCAAATCGAATCGAATCAACTCAAATCATTTCAATTCAAATCAATTCAAATTGAATCAATCACCTTCTATCTCTATCGACTTCAATCTGAATCAGGATCTGACTTAATCAAATCAATCAAATTAATCAATTCAAATCAAATCGAATCGAATCAACTCAAATAATTTCAATTCAAATCAATTCAAATTGAATCATTTTAAATCATCTCAAATCATTTCAATTGAATCAAAACAAATCCTTTCAAATCTCAATTAATCAATTGAATCGAAACAACATTCTAAAGCACAATGGCCACATCGGAGCAACCTGCTAGTTCAGTAAGTCCTCTGTCTTCCCAAATCTCTGATACGCAGGAGCTGACATCAGAAATCTCGTCAGGTTGCCCGTACACCTCGCCGAACTAAAGCTCAGCTTGAGGCAGATCTTGCTGCAAGCGGACACACAGGCAAGGGTAAGCCTACACCTGCTGAAGTTCGAAGATCACTCGTGGCCGCCAAAGCACGACATCAATCAGCTCAACCGATTTCTTCAGGATCAAAGGCTCAAAAACCTCGAACTCCTAGTGCAAAAGCTAAACCCCTCCTGAATCAAAATCGAATCCCAGTTCAGCAGCACCTCCGTCCTCATCGTCGTACCAAGCCCCACCCCTTCAAAAACTTGACTACGAAGAAATTATTGCCAATCTAGATCGTCCTAATGTCCGAAATGCCCTGTTTGGTGGTGGTGGTGGCAAAACTAAGGTCACTGGACAATCAATGCTTCCACAAAAGATTTTGAATGAATTAGCAAGAACTATTGAGAACAATTACAATATTCGAAACAAGACTACAAAAATGAGACTTACTGGGCGTTCACTCAAGCTGCGAATGGATTGGTGGAAAGGAAACTATATGAAAGCGAAACGTTTGAATGCAGATACCGGTTCTGGAACTAGCAAGAAGGACAACCAGCGTGGAATTTGGACTCTTGCCGAGAAGCACGAGTCTTTATGTCCTTGTTTCGAGCAGTTGAACGAGATCTTCAAAGATAAAGGAAATGTAAACGCATTTGGTATCATGGATAGCGGACTTATTGAAGATCAAGATGGTGAAGAAGAAGAATGTGATGAAGATGAGGAAGGCGAAGATCAAGATGGTGAATGGGAAGAAGATGAAGAAGAATTTGGAGCTGGAAAGGAAATAGTTGTCTCGGATTCTGAAGACAATCAACAATCCCAAGACAATTGACGTCAAAAGGAGATAGTTGTCTCAGATTCTGAAGACAATCAAGTCAAACATCCAACCACCAAAAGCGACCATGACGATAGCTCTGATGATGGCCTTCCCCCCCTCTTACTCCCCGTTTGGATATGGACAATGATTTGGAAATTGGAAATATCAAAGGTAAAGGGCCTGCGCCAAAGAAGCGCACTAGAAGTGTAAGCTTTTTCTTTTGATCATTTTTCCAATTTTGATCATTACTGATCTTTTTATATCCTCTTCTTTGTTTTGTTCAATTCAATTTATCTAGGAAA